CCTACACCATGTGTTTGTAGAAGTAAACTTACCTAGTTCCACAACACATATTGATTTAATATAGAGTTGCCCAGGGATTTCATAGTCTTCTCACTCTTCCTATGTGGTGTGGGCCAACAAATGACCTACACCACGTGTTTGTATAACGAAATTTACTTGGTTCCTACAACACTCATTGATGTCATGGACAGTTGCCCAGTGATTTCTTGGTGTTATCACTATCGCTATGCGGTGTGGGCCACAAAGTTCCCTACACCATGTGCTTGTAGAAATAAATCTTCTTGGTTTCTAAATCACTCATTGATTTGCTGCACGGTTGCCCAAAAGAGTCTCTAGAATACGTAAACCCCAAGTATTCCCAAATAATCCGAGGATGATCCGCAAAAGCCCTGGAGTGCCATGCTAGAGTATTCCAGAATCGCTGGAGCGCGCAGCTGTAGAGTATCCTCAAAATCCCTGGAGTGCCCAAGCCATCCTGCAACTAACATACAGCTCAAGAAGTAAACCTTTCTTCATGTTTACAGGAATGGTCCTAATACTACTAATACTAGTAGCGTGATATTAGTATGATTATCAGCAATGTTCGGTCTAGTAGGCGCATGAGCTTACTAACATGATCAATGGTACTAGAAATTGCTATTCCGTTGATATTGACAACATTACCAAGCTTACTAGTGTCAGTGTGAGGTTTGCTAGCATTCACGTTTCTCGCCTTAGCCATATTACTATTTGTCTCATATTAAAGTCTTATCGAAAATGAAAAAAACACAGGAGCTAATGATGCCAATACTGCTATGGCACTATTGTAAGTGATATTGTTGAGTTTCGCAGTGGCAGGCTACAAACATTGCTCGCACCATTTATGTTGCACCCTCTTTAGTGCTGCCCCCCACCCCCCCCCGCCCCCCCGAATCGTTCTTGTCCCTGCTTACACACGGGCTGTATATGATTTTAGTAGGGAGGAGTTTAGATAAGTTTAAAGCGGGCAGCGATGCCCAGCAGTGCTTTTTGAAGGCGCGCCACGTGGAACTTTCTTACGGTGCCGGACGGTTTAACTTCATTCAGGATGCCAACGCGCACCTCCCAAACAGTCAGTGTGTCGTGAATAGGCCAGCCAATTTGACTTTATTCTGGAGGCCTGTACTAAAGAGTGTGGAACATTAATAGTACTCGCCTTAGTCGTATGGCTAATCTGACGGATGGTGACATTTTCGTAGTAGACTTGTCAAAAGAATGTATGCACTGATAGCAAGACTAGGATAGTCGTGATGTTAGTGTTCGCAATCCTGCCAATATGCTGCAATGTTATTTTGTCAAATTGGGGGGGGCGTTAGATATGTCAAACACATGCGTAACACAAGTCATAGTCGATTTCGACTGTTCCGAACAACACGTCATGCTTTTTGCTTATATGAACAGCGAAGCTTAGGAGCGCCAGGACGACTACTAACATTGCCGCTGGCAAGTATAAGAGTATACACTTACATATTAAATGATAATTTTATTCGGTGTTGAAAGTGATAAGGAAAAACCTAAGCTAAATAAACCCTAAAGGTTGCGGGCTCATGTATATATATATATATGTACATGTACTTGTGTTTGGGCCAGGTAGGCGTCGCAACTCCGCATCCAGAGGAGCTGGAAAGAGATGGCTGCCAGTACCGCAAGGCTTTGCGAAATAATCAGGGAGAAATGCGCAAGAAAGCCATGTCTGGGATCGCTTTTTTGTGTTAGGTGTCCTTGAAGAGATCGGGTCCCGCCCAGGCACAGCAGGGCAAGAAATGAAGTCGCGAACAATTCATGGTGGAGCTTTGCGGGTCCACTCGAAACGTGAGGCTGCACTGCTGGCCGACAAGGACTTCCACGACCCGCTGGAGGGCTGGGCCAGCTTCTTAGACAACAGCTTGTGGATCAAGACTTCCAATTGTCCATGTGGCCTTTCCCGAGTTGACCCTGGACGGGCATCCATGCAAGCCCTCGTGGCCGACTCGGTGCTCACTGTTGCGCACCGGGATGAGAAAGATGGGGGTGTGGGCGGGGGGGGGGGGGCTGATCACGTTGGCTGTGCATTGGCGTGCAAGGTCCAGGTTTCACTGGCATCCAAGTGCCGCGCTTCCAACGGTGAAGTATCCACCGGTGCCAGCTTTCGAGGCTCTCGCGGAGGTCGCCCCATATGTGTGTGGCCTTGTCAGTCGACGTTGCCATTGAAGGTCTCCACACTCGCCAGGGTTGCAGATGTGAAAGCTCAGAAGGCGCTGTGCTTGCAACCTTTGCCCAGCAGCATGTAAATTCGCTTTTTCGTGCATTTGACAACACTGCTGTGCAGCGTTCACCTTCCAAAATGCGATGACTTCAGCTACACGCCAGTTCGGCACTTCGGAGGAAGACATCGAATGTCCCAGCAAGGCAAGCAGCAGCACGAAAAGGACAACGCGTGGCTGACACAGCGTGGGTCAACTCACGCCGAAAAGCCAGAAATCAACAATGAATAAGAACGAACAACGAGCAAATGCCTCACATACAGCAAGAGCATGCGAGCGATTGATCTGCACCCATGGTGTCATTTTGATTTCCAGGACTACCTTCGCTCGTTCGATGGCCTCTCGGATGTCACAGCCCACGACATCCACGAGGCACGTTGTGCACGTCGCGCTCAGGAACATCCCAGGTTTACCTGCATGTTAGCCAACATGCATGTTTTCAACCTCTGTCAGGCATTGCACGGCAAGGCAAGAGGGCCAGGGACGCACATGTGCATCACGTGAACATCGGTCGAGTCAGCGCCCATTGCAGGCAGCCTCGCCAGCACCAGCGCCGCCAGCACCAGCATTCTCCGCAGCAACGGCGCCCACGGCAGCCACGGCACCGACGGCACCGACAGCACCGACGGCACCGACGGCACCAGCACCGTCGGTGCTCAGCCCGAACCCGCCAAGGGGTTCGAGGGGCCCTAGCGGCCACACCGGCGGCCCCACTGGCACTGGTGGCCCCGCAACCCCCGACAAGCCCCCAGTCAAGTCTCCCCAAAATTCGGCCACTGCATCCACTGCCTCCTCGGCCCCTGCCAGCCAAGTGCGACAAGTGCGACGCGCCCGACACTCAGCATTGCTTTTGGCTTGGTGTCCCGTCGGTTCATTGAAAAGCCGATCCTTTCAGCTTCACGTGAACTTCACGTCTTTATTTTGTTGTTGGCATTTCTGTTCTGATTGAACGTACTCCGCCCAGCATTACGAGCTCCGCCCAGCCTCCCTCCAAGTACTTCGCAGGCTGGCTTTGGAATCCAAGCACCCACTTTTCAAGACACGAACGGAGCCGATGACGCGTGACCATATGGCTTGAAAAGTTCCCCCGCCCAAGCCTTTGCCTCGTAAACGTTAATACCCTACTACAGGACTTGTATATATACATTATATATAATGTTTCAGCGCTGGCACCCCGACACAGCTTCACGGTTGTCTTAATTAAGTGCCATATTTTGGTTATTTGGTAATTTGCGGAATCTTTGTAGAACTGGAATTCATTGGAGACCCGCAAGATCCTGCAAGGCTGCAGAGCGCGCAGAGTCGGCCGCAGAGGCAAGGTACATGATCCCTTGCGCAGGTGCAGCTTCACGAAGCTTCGCGGCAGTAAAGCACCCTGCAGGCCATGATGAGGCACCTCGACGCCAAAGTCGACCGGCTCGCTGACAGGCTCAAAGAGGCGCAGGGCCACCTGAACACCTCCAGCTCCAAGCCTTCCAAGCCTTCCAAGCCTTCCAAGCCCCCACATGTGCAACGACAATAGCTCGTGTACGTTGCGAGAGCACGGGGTTTTTATGCACGTGTACGCATGCACGGGGTCTTTCACCGCCTTCACCATCCAGGACACAGCAAAGGCAGCGAGCCAAGCCCGTCTCTTAGCATTCCTCCCTCAACCACCGTTGCCATCACTCGCAGCGCAAACATTGCGCATGGCGACAGCATTGAACAAAGCGTGTTTTTCCCGAAGCCTGTTAAGGCAGAGCGCGAGGAGCCATCAATTGCAGAGGCAAGGGGCTCACTGTGCTCGCGCTCCTCCTCCGAATTCCTCCGAGCTGAGTGCTGCAGGCCATGATGAGGCACCTCGATGCCAAAGTCGACGGGCTTGCAGACAGGCTCAAGGAGGCAGACAGCAAGATCATGCAAGATCGACATTGTGACTGCAGTGATCCTGTTGCCTATACCAAGTGTTGTGTTGTGCATCGGTTTTGAGCTGGATTCCATGAAACAGCGGGGCAGACAGCCCCGCCACCTTGCTACTGGATTCCGAGGCTAAACGAACTCAAGGTTCAGTGTTGTCACGACAGTGAGGCTCTGGGGAAAACTGGTGACGCATCTCAAGGGGGAGAGGGGGCGGGAGGGGGCGAGGGGGGAGGGGTCTCGGAGGTTTCGTTTACTGCAAGAATCTGCAGGATGTGTGTATCGGAGGGCAGGATGCAGCATAGCGCAGCTGCATATAGCTGCATCTTCGAACACCAAGCGGACGACGAAATACAAAATGTCATATAAACACAAACACAACAAGTACCCTATGAGTTAACGGCAAACGGCAAAAAGCAGCGTATCGCCTGGCTCCTTGATCGCTGCAAGGCCTCGCGCGAGGAGCCGTCCGCGGAGGCGAGGCCATCAGGCTCTCATCGTGCTCGCGCGCCTCAGATGGCTGCAGGCCATAATGAGGCACGTTGATGCCAAAGTCGACGGGCTTGCAAACAGGCTCAAAGAGGCAAGGCGTGACCGCCTGTACACCGTATAGCCAGGCCTTCAACTTTTGCAGGTCGCGTCCAGCAGCCGAAAAACAACGAAAGTCATGACCGAAGCCTGCATCTCAGTCAAAGCAACATGTTCTGCTGAAGGGCGCATGCTGTGCTCGGTTAATCCATTTTCTCGGGGACTGCGAGGCAGCGCAGGAGGTGCCGTCGACTGCAGAGGTGAGGCAACGTACTCGTACGCCTCCCAGCTGCGGCCGCGTGCTGATCGAAGGCCATGGTGAGGCACCTGGACGCCAAAGTCGATGGGCTTTCAAGCAGGCTCAAAGAGGCGGAGCATGACCTCTCAGATGACAGCCCCATCCTGCGGAAAGATAGGCTTTCGGATTTCGCGGCTGTGAAGGTTGAGTCCAGAAGCCAAGAGGTGGCCGCGAAGGTGAGCGCCGCTGTCTCAGCTTGCGGCCCTTGTGGTGTGCGTCGCCCGGCCCTCATCACAGACTCGCGCTCACAAGGTGCCTGCTCCACCCGCTACCTGGGAGGTGCCGCTGCGGGCATTGCATTTTCTTCTACAGTTAAAAGTCTTTTTCTATCCTCAAGGGTTTAGAAGCCTACAGGTGTCGAGTGCCCACATCGGACAGGCAGCTGCCACGGAAGTTTCTAAACAACGAAAGAAAGCAAGAAGCGCAAGCATAACAAAAAGGAAGAATGAGAGAAAGAGATGGAAGGAAAGAAATAAGGAAAAGCAGAAGCCCGGGAGAGAACTTCCCTTAACCAGCATGGGAGTCCTTTCCAAACCCGTCCTCCGAGCATTACTGGCAGCCCCGGCCCCCCCCCCCCCCCCCCACCCCCCCCCCCCCCCCTCGATTTTGAAAGCCTTTCAAGGCCCGTCTGGAGCATTGTGTTTGCAGATGGTAGCATGGGCCCAACACCTCCACATTCAGTTTGCAACTTTATGGGCTGGTTTAGTAGGAGTCTGATTAACATGCAAATTAGTACGAGTCCTTTTGGAAAATGCAGAGGCAGAGCTTTTCCTAGGTAGAGTTTTCCTACTGTAGGGCAAGCCAAGGAAAGTAGAGGTTTCCTAGTCAAAGCAGAGAGAAAGTACCTCTTAAAGTAGAGAAAATAAACAGGTTTCCCGAGACAGAGTTTTCCCAAATCACATACCTAAAATGGAGCAAATAGCGGTTTCCCCTGCGCCCCAAAGAAAACAAGATAAAACCGCCAACAAATTGTCTCCACCCGTTCCAAGTCGAGCATCACCAAAACCGTGCGTCACCAGCAACGGTGTCAGAAGAATATGGGTGTCAGTTCATGGCATGAGAAATTATGACAATTAGTCATGCACTCAAGAAGCTGCAAGATATTTCTGTTTCTCGAAGTGAATCGGTGCTCCTTGATCGCTGCAAGGCCTCGCGCGAGGAGCCGTCCGCGGAGGCGAGGCCATCAGGCTCTCATCGTGCTCGCGCGCCTCAGATGGCTGCAGGCCATAATGAGGCACGTTGATGCCAAAGTCGACGGGCTTGCAAACAGGCTCAAAGAGGCAAGGCGTGACCGCCTGTACACCGTATAGCCAGGCCTTCAACTTTTGCAGGTCGCGTCCAGCAGCCGAAAAACAACGAAAGTCATGACCGAAGCCTGCATCTCAGTCAAAGCAACATGTTCTGCTGAAGGGCGCATGCTGTGCTCGGTTAATCCATTTTCTCGGGGACTGCGAGGCAGCGCAGGAGGTGCCGTCGACTGCAGAGGTGAGGCAACGTACTCGTACGCCTCCCAGCTGCGGCCGCGTGCTGATCGAAGGCCATGGTGAGGCACCTGGACGCCAAAGTCGATGGGCTTTCAAGCAGGCTCAAAGAGGCGGAGCATGACCTCTCAGATGACAGCCCCATCCTGCGGAAAGATAGGCTTTCGGATTTCGCGGCTGTGAAGGTTGAGTCCAGAAGCCAAGAGGTGGCCGCGAAGGTGAGCGCCGCTGTCTCAGCTTGCGGCCCTTGTGGTGTGTGTCGCGTTGTTGTTGGTCCTGTCTCGGCAAGGTGCCTGCGCCTTCACCCACAGCTTGGGAGGTGCCACTGCGGGGATCCATGGCCCCACCTGCCTTAGCAACGACCACGTTGCCCATGGCACCCTCGGCACCCACGGTGCCAATCTACCGAGCACCTGAAGCGCCCTCTGCGAGTGCACCAGTTGCGCCAGCTGTGCCGGCGGCCGCGGGACCCTCAACAACGGCCGTCACTTGTCGCAGAAAGACCCAACAATTGCCAAGCTAGATCGTGCGAAGGTCACACCAGCTCCACAGGCAGGTTTACCCAGGTTTACATTACACAGGGCCTGCCACTGGCGCACAGCCCCACATGATGAGCCATTGCAGGTGATCATCAAAAACAATGTCGAGATGGACCCGCAGGTCAAGGATGCCTGTGCTGTTGCTCAGTGCTCTGCTACTGCTCAGAGCATCTTAGAGCCTTAGAGCCTTAGAGCCAGAGCGCGATAGCCTTTTCTTTGGGGGACAGGCCTCGGAGCAGCGGCACGAGAGCGAGGCATGTTCAGTAGCGCAGATCAACAAAGAAAAGCATTCTGCAAGCGCCATGGAACTTGGACAAGGGGGGCGAAGTGCGATTTGGAGGCCGCGGGGGAGCTGTGGGTGAGCGCGCTTTCCGGGTGCGAGGAAACCGTAGACAAGGGTAGAGGGCGCACGAAGAGGAGGAGGAGGAGGAGGAGGAGACAGGACAGGGGGCGGGGGGAGGTGGGAGATATCCCGTTGACCGTGAGGCTGCTGAAGAGCCGTAAGACCGTAAGAGGGGAGCGCCATATCTGGTTGATGGGGAGGATGCGGGGGATCCTCGCAGCATCTCGATGCGAAGTTCGCGCTGCAGGTTCCCCCCCATCCAGTACCGTCCCGTGGCCACTGCCAAAGCTTGCACAGCTTCCCCGCGGCCCGCAAGCTCCCTTGACAAGCGTCTTCATCTCATGTCATCTCTTTTCGGACTTGTCCAAGCCTTCTCCTTTGGGAAATACAACGATTGTGTCCCAGGAATTGCGAGGTCACCAAAATCGGAGCAACTCCTGAACTCACGCTACGCTTTTATGGACATGCTTAAATAATGTTGTGTAGCACAAGGGTTCCCGGTTTAAGCGTTGGGGCGCTAATCGCGGTCGCAAGTGTCTTCATCCCATGTGGAAACGGCCTATGAAAGAACACCGGAAATCGGTCCACTTCTTTTGGGCAATGAATGGCAACAACACGTATCTGCGTCATTCAGTGCGAGCACTGAGCAACACGCTCCCGAACTCTTGGCTCTTGGTTCCTGACTCGACCTTGTTCGAGCATTGTGTCCGCGATGCCAATTGGTTGCGAAACCTGCCGAAAGCATGCCTTGCAAAACTCTGTGTAACAGCAGGAAGACAGGTTGTGGTTTGTTTGATCAGCAACTTGTCTGACTTGTTTGCGAAATTTGCCCCAAGCATGAAAGCAGGGAGGACAAAACAGACGAAGGAGGCTATATGAGGGCTCATATGAAAGAAGACTAGATGGACTAGATCTAGCCGACGTGAGGAGACGTGAAGATCGAAGACTTGTGGTGCGGATTTCCACTGTTGCATCCTATGTTCCTGTTTAGGTTTCCGGGTTCCCGGCTTGACCTTGTTTTTGAGCATGGGGTGGCATGTGAATGATGGTCTCATGTCTTCCCCTTTTCTCAGCCATCTCCGTGCTGCAAATTTCGATTCGAAGCGTAGCGGCGTAGTATTGGTTTTCAGCACGTGTTGCGAGACACCGCATACTGGCACCCTCACGCCGGCCCCCCCTGCCCCCTGCTGCCCTGCCCTGCCGGATGCCCTGCCCTGCTGCTCTGCCCCCTGCATTTCGTGATGTGTTTTTCTTTCACCGTTGGTTGAAGTTCTGAGAAGAGGCGGCGCTGCACGGCATCAGCGACAAGGTGGATCACCTCGAAGAGAAGTTGAGCAACCTGGAGCCCCAGAAGGCACGTTCGCCACCCCAAACAGAATGGGAACGAGCCGCGTAGTGGGTGCAAGGCAGCCCAGACACTGAGCCAGCCGACAGCTGCGGCGGCTGCACCGGCGACGGAGGTGGATGCCGTCTGTCAGTGTGATATCGAGAGCTGTCCTGATCCTTTGACTCTGTGTTGATATAGAAATTGACGCTGCTTGGGGCGTGCTTCGCGCAGTGCTGTGGGGGTGCTTCACGCAGTGCTCTTCGCAGAGCGCTTTTCAGGCAGCGATGCGGCACCTGAATGCCAAAGTCGACGGGCTTGCGGACCGACTCAAAGAGGCAGGCCTCAGCTTCTGTAACAAGGCAACCCAGACCAGGGGTTGAAGGCCGCAGGCAGGCGCAAGGGCAGCACTTCTGTGGGGAAGGGCGGGGGGGTTGGGGGGGGGGTGGGGCGGGAGGGGGTGGGGGGTTGGGGTGGGGGTGGGGAGGTGGGCCTGGGGTGGTTTGGGCCCCCATGGCAGGCCGAAGTGGCCCCTGGTCCCGATGCACCGTCTGCTCCCGGACACTTGTCGGCGAGGGGGCGGTACCCCATTTCACGCCAAAGAGTGCAACATAAAGGGGGTGGGGTGCCTGCTTTATGCTACCCAGGCACCTACGGCCCAAGGCCTCAACAAATAAGAGTCAACAACCAGACCCCTCATGTGCTCTTTAGAGATTATTTGGATCTTTTCCTGCAGTGGCGGGCCGAGGCAGCATCTCGAGAGAATGTACCGAATGCACCCAGCACCTTCGCAGTTCATGGGGCCCTTCATGGGGGGTATGACCATCATGATGATAATAATATTTCGAACTCATACGGTACTCATACGGCCGGATCGATTAAGCACTTGAATGATTGTCCCGTGTGAGTCCCATTTGTCAGCGCACCCCTGCAAATATGCCACGTGTAGCTACGAGAAGGACCCAGGGACCCAGAGTTTGGATCAAAGCTTTACGTGAGAATTCCGAAGAGAGCCGGTCCTAAAGCTTTTGTTTGATTGCCGAAGTGTCCCTGACAGATGGAGAGCCGGGGCCTTGCGACGTCAGAGGCGCAAGAGAAGGCGCTTCACGGAAAGCACCTTTGAGCCTGCAGGAGTGTTCGCAGGAGCCTTTGCAGGTGCCGGTCGCCCTGCCTTCAGCGGGCCAGGTCGACTCGGGAGACTTTGAATGACTTCAATGTCAAGTGAGACGGAGCTTCAAGAGAACCCGGGCAGAGAGGTGCAGCTCGTCAACGCGAAGGCCGACATGGAGCAGGCAAGTCCACACTTCTCCACACTCCCCCCCCAAAAAATGTGGCACTCTTTTCCGGCTCCTTTCAGAATTTCAGCCGCACCGGGTTGTCCCAGGCGATCCAAACAGCAGCAATTGGTGGCCATGCCCAGATCGAGGGCAAAGCTGAAGCCTCAGAATGTCAGAAAGAAGCTGTTCACAAACTGGCACAAACTGTTCAAAGAAGAGAAGGGCGGCACTAAGCTTGTCACGCTGTCGCGGCCAACCTTGTCAAGGCAGCGGATGCTAGGGCACAGGGATCGAAGCACTGCCAAGTGCAAGGATAGAAAGGCCTGAGGAAAGAAAGAGGGAAGGAAGGAAAAAAAACAAAACACGCAAAAGGGAGGAAGCAGAAGGAGCAAAGGCCCGCCTCCTTTCTTCCCCGAAGAAGTTCGTCAAGAAGGGCGGACATCGTCCCATGCCATCGAAAGGAGTTTTGCTTCACAAGCCGTACCCGCGAGTACTGAGCCATTACCAATTTCCGCACACACACTCACAAAACATTCCCTCAAGAAGCTTTCGCGAAGAAGCGAATGCCTTCCCTGTGCTGCTTGTTTTTTGAATTGGCAGCCTCCGCAACAGCCTGAATATGTTTGATCCTGACCTAGTGTTTGTATCCTCAGCAAAAGCTTGGAGTTCGCAGCACACAGCCTCCGGAGCGGCCGCACATTTTGTTTGATCCTGGAATCATTTGTTGATCTGAAAGCCATAAAGGCAAGTTGAATTGTCTGCCCCAAAACTGCTTGATCCCTGCCAGTTTGTTCGATCCTTCACCCCAGGGGGTGAGGATGTGGATGTTAGGTCGATGCGGCCGATCACGCCAGGCCGGATTGCCAACAAAGCCGCTCTTCCTTGATCCACACTACACTGACACAATCTGACACATGTTCAGGGAAGAAGTGATTCATGGGCTGAACATCTCCCTGGAGAGCGCAATGACGGAGGCCGAGCCGGACAGCAACAGAGCCACCAACACACAAACCACATGAGACGCCACTGGTAATGAATAAGCCAGAAATATTCACGGGCATTCCCAGTAGACTTCTGTGGTGTTGATCCCTGGAAAGGCACGGGCCAGCCTGCAGAGCGCGGAGTCAAGGGTGGCCGAGACTGCCAGTGGCTCCACTGCACATCAGTGCACTCAGCCGAACAAAACTCGCGAGATGCCACGACTATACGGCAAATTTCGTCTGCAAACCAGCCTGTGTTCACAAAAGCACATCGAGTGTTCTCAAGCTCAGGAGAGGCTGTCGACGGCACCCTCGCAAGTGTCCTGAAGACGTCTATGGAAAATGTCATAGGTCGGAGAGCCCAGATTCCGCGAAGATCACCTTTTGACATGTGAGCTGTGTTGTTTTGGGCGCTCGAGCAATGTTACCCAGCAGACGTTATGATTCTCCGCGGAAGGGCCGAAAAGGTAAAGAAGATTGTGCGGAAGGGTCCGCGGAAAGCAAGGTGGTGTTCGCGGAAGGCTTGCGGAAGGTTTTTCTGTCGGCCTGCTTGAAAATCAATTAGATATAATGGACGCCCAACACGTCGGCAACATAAGAATCGAGCCCCTTTGCTTTTAGAGTGGAACTCCACGGAAGGGCCGCGGAAGCTCCACGGAAGGCGATGGGTCGTTTGGAAGCCCTGGTTAAACCCTAGGCCCTAGACCCTAAACCCTCCATACTCACTCTGTACAAGTACCCTTAAACTCGCGACCCTTACCCCCAGACACCTGACCCTCAAACCTAAAACCTGGGGAGTACCTGAACATATGATTGTTTTAAAGGGAGGAGAGTTGTTTTTTGTATTGGCTGCCGCCAATGCCGCTTGCGCGTGCGCGACTTTGCCCGACCGGGGCAGCTGTGGGCTTTCATAGCCGGAAACGCACGGGCTTTGCGCCGGGGTCTATAATTAATGTCAAAGCAATGCCTTTCAACCCTCACAAAAGGCCCTGAGCTCAAAAACCTTGCAACCTTAAAATGTCAAAAAATGCCTTAAAACCCGGGCTGCAACCACGCCAGGACCCGCAGCAACGCCGAGAGAAAGCCTATCCGCCCATGGGCTATCATATCAGGCTGTCGACCCAAGGCTGGAGCCGCTGATGCTCATGATGCGCACGGTTTGGGGGAAACCAAGGCCGCTGATGCTCCTGATGCGCGTCCCGGGGCCCAGACTGAACCCGCTGATGCTCATGATGCGAGGGGTGTCCGTGGCTACCCCACAAGGCTAGTTCGACCCGATAAGCCGCGTCAGGCATAAAGCCCTTAAAGCCGTGGCGCTGCCCGATTTTATGGCTAGGGGGGGGGGGCTGTGAAAACAGCGGTGCGGGGAGTGAGGAGGTGCAGCGGGGGCAACCACCAGGCTGCAAGGGATGTGGGTCTTCACTAGCGCCGCCCCCGCTTATGCTGGGGTCGGCGGATGTACTCAGCTAGCTGATTGCTGTTTCTGGAGAAGGTGGAGTCGCGTCTTCCGCGGAAGGAATGCGAAATACGCCGCCGAAGGGTTTTTAATGTATATCGATTCATGCTTGAGAAAACAATCACCGCTCACATGCAAGGCATTGGAGTGGCTGCTGACTCGCTGAAGTCGGAGGCTGCCTAAAGGATGATCATGGACGATCGGTGGCTGCAAGTGACTGTTGGCCTTTAGTGCCTGCCGGTGGTCTTTCGGAAAATTCAGGCAGAGGCTTTGCAAAGCAATGCCACAACCCTTCTGGATCAGGCAAGACGTATCAGGGCTTTGAAATCTTCGCGTTCTACAAACCGCAATGCCCAGCAAAGAAAATGCAGGTGGAGGACAACGCAGCACTGGGCAAGGAGGCGGTGCCGGCCTCAGCCCTGGCGGCCCTGGGCACGGCCCTAGATATTTTGCCCCGTCTCTCCGCTGCGGCTTGGAGCGTGTTGGGGCGCCTTCAAGAGGTCGCTCCACTACCGACCAACTCGGCTTTGGCACGTGGCCTAGATTGGGCCTCAAGAGGGTGGGGCCCACCGAAGCTTCTCCCATAGCAGAGAGAGGAATGCTGCTGTGAGATCTTGTGAGATGTTGAGGTTGAGCAGAGGATGGCCCAGATCCAGGCCGAGCTCAAGGACATGAGCGAGGAGGTACGGGTCACCTAGGGGTCACCATGGGTCACCGCTCGCAATGCTTTTGGGTATAGGAAAGGGAGAGGGCATATGAGAGGGCACATGATGCGTGCACTTTTTTTGCCAAAGTGGCACGAAGGCGACAGGGGCAGAGGCTTTGGCGGATGCCTCCCTCGAAGCAGTGGAGGCGGCCTTGCAGGCCAGGCCAATGTGTCGTGATTGTCCGGATTGTCCGAAGCAGTGCATCTGTGATGTGGACCTTGCAGCACCACCCAGAGAGTCGGTGGACATGATGCCTGGGATCCTGAATTCTCAGGATTTCGGGACCACTGCTGACACATTGATTCGTAGAATGCAGGGAATCCTTGTTTTTGGCAACCAAGGCTTTGGTGTTTGGAACTGAGGCCTTAGTGGCGCCCTCTAAAAAATCCCACATGGTCCCTCTGTTGCTAGTCTTTCTGTCAACAGTGCTGTTTTCATCAAAAATTATCAGACAACGTCGAAAAGATTTCAGCTGCCATATACAGAAAAAATATTAGGTATAAGGAATCACGTGTTGCCTTTTGCTGCTATGTCATGGACATAGCTTCGATGGCCTTCGATAGCCTTCGATTGGTTTTGCGACCCTCTCCCCCCTATCACCCCACCACCCCTCCCCTGCCCGGCCCCTCCCTTCCTCCCCCACCCCCCAATCAACAGAAATAGCTGCGCCTGCGAATCTGTATACGCGTCTGCCCCCTCCCTCCACGCGCAGCTAGTGGGAACGGAGGAAGGGAGGCGGGAGGCCTCGGGAGGGGTAGTGGGGGTGATATAGGGGGGAGGGGTCAAAGCAAAACCAATCGAAGGCTATCGAAGCTAACAATTAGGCTTCGAAAGCCCAAACGAAGCGAATTGAAGCAAGGAACAAAAAAAAGACAAAAACAAAACGAAGTTGAAGCATATTGAGGCAGCAAAAAAGATTTTGAAGCATACTGAGTGGTCTCAGCGAGGGTAAAACAAAACGCAAGAAGCGAATTGCAGGGGCTCACCGGGGACGCCGAAAAAATGAAGGAAATTGAAGGGGCTCACCGGAAAACCCCTCCGCCCCCTTCCCGGCCCTCAGCTCCACTGCAAACCCTTTCCCGGCCCTCAGCTCCTCTGCAACCCCCTCGTGGCCCTTTCTGCAACCCCCCACACCCCTCAACTCCTCTGCAAACCTCCCCGGCCCTCAGCTCCTCTGACGCCTTCCCGGCCCTCAGCTCTTCTCTATTGAGTGCTATTGAGCACTATTGAGCCTTATTGAGCGTTATTGAGGGCTATTGAGCTGCCTCTCCCTCTCCCTCCCCCTCTCCCTCTCCCTCTCCCCCCCTTTCCGCTTTCACTATTAAGCGCCATTGAGCTCCCATTGAGTGCTCTCGAGCACTATTGAGCTCTTTTGAGCACTATTGAGCACTATTGAGCACTATTGAGGGTTATTGAGCCTCATTGAGCAGAAGAAAGGGCTATTGAGCTCCCTCTCCCTCATCCCCCCTCCCGCTCCCTCTCCCTCCCCCATCCCCCCTCCCGCTCCCTCTCCCCCCTTTCCGCCTTCATTTTAAGCGTTATTGAGCTCCTCCCGCGCCTCCCCTCCCCTCCCCTGCCCCCCTCCCCTCCCCGTCTACCCTCTCCCCTCTCCCCTTCTCTAAGCGAGGTTCTGAAGCAAACCTCGCGTGGTTCGGGGCAACTCCAGATATTTAAGCACTTTATGCACCATTACATGCGCAGCGTTGAGCTGATGTTCGGGTTACCTCGCTCATGTCTACAAGTCTTGTGTTCCGATCTACAAATCGAACGGAAATCTAGCAGATTCTACCATTTGCAAGGTGGTCAACCGCTCCGTCGCCAAGGCTCAGGAGGACTCGAGGGAGCGTCAATGGTCAGGTGTGAAGAGTTGGGGTGTTGCAGTTGTCCGAATTCCCCAAAAACTATTCGGGGAACCGCTTCAGAGGCCCGATCGCTGCGAGGGCGTGCCGCAGAGCAGGTATCTGGCTATCCGGGGCCAGCTTTCGGGTCGCTTTCTGCCCTCGATTGTGTATTTGTTTGTGCTCTTGGAGCAGCATCGGAGGTGGCTTTGAACGAGGCCAAGATCCGAGAGATCCGCCAAGCTTTGACGGGAACGGCCGGGCACTTTTGCAAGTCGATGTCGCCTTAAATATTAAATACATAAACATACATATCTTGGAGATCCGGAGAAGACTTTCGAGGCTCGATGACCCTCCGAATCGAAAGTTGCAGTTCCGCGGATGCGACTAGATGTCCACGCAGACGTCCAGAAAAAGCTCCAACAAAGGCAACAAAGGCAACTTTGCTTCACTGCGCTTTGCCGGGCAGATGTGCAGGCTCCTGGAGGTGACAGAGCCTTTGTCTCAGCCCTTCTCACAAGACCTCACACGCCCTCAGAGCTTCCACACACCAGTTTTCCATCAGACAAGGCAACTGCGACAGAACAACAGACGCGAGGCCCCAACATGTAGACTTAGCCCCTGGTAGCCATGGCCCGCCCCCTTCGCTTGTTGGGCGCTTCAGGGAGAGCTGCTTGGAGATATGAGACACCAAGAACACATAGTCTTCCTTTTTGTGTGAGGACTTGGACTTTGAGGGCCACAGTGATCAACCAGGATGTCTGCAAGGTGGGGAAGCAAAATGCCTGGAGCAACAATGAACCAAACGCAGATTCGGCCCTTGGGAAAGCAAAGCCGCCCGGTAGGCGGACGGCCGTGAAGAGTGCCGCCAAGCCAAGGCGGTGTGCTCAAGCATCTGCCGTCACATGCTAGCACAAGAAGAAGCAGCAATCCAGCAACAACACATAAACAACCCTTCAATACGAAAACGCAGAGAGCAACCCAGAGCGCGGAATGAACGTCATTCTTTCCATGAATTGAATTGAAAGAGAGAGAGAGAGAGAGAGAGAGAGAGAGAGAGAGAGAGGGGGAGAGAGAGAGAGAGAGTGAGAGAGAGAGAGTGAGAGTAGCCATTTTGGCTCAAGGCCACGAGTGCTCAAAGAGGCGCCCCCGTCGTCCAGCCTCTGAAACCGACTTCGTGAAAAGAGTTGGGGAGAAGAGAGTGAGAAGGGGGGGAGAGACGGCCTGAGTGGTCCCCGTGTGCCATATTCCTCACCTACAAGTTTGCTGTCCTACGTGTCCTCCTGCTGATCGCTGTCGCCGGGGACATCGTAAAGTGTGCAGCACGGGGGCAACCGCAGCGGGCCTGGGGCGTGCGGGGGAGCCTGCGACCAGCTACCTGAAAGTGATAGCGGCCCTACGTGGGGGCTACCAGTACGGCTTGCACCAGTTCGGCGTCTATCTCGCCAGGGACATTGACAATGTCGAGTCTGAGCCTTGGCAGGGACACCAAGTGACGGGCGCTATTGGAGGGGGCGGTGGGGGCTCGCCGCCCAAACGGAAGGCAGCTGGAGAAGGGGCAGGGGCAGCCGACGACATCGGGGATGAAGTTCACGTGGTGGAGGGGGACAAGGGGGCCGTGACGCTCGAGAGTATCAAGATGGCGTTCAAAACTGAACTCAGCTGCAACAACGAGCGGATCAAAAAGGAGATCCAACAAGCAGTTGGTGGGGTCCAGGCAGAGGTGGCCTCCCGCATCGGGACTGTCGAGACGGAGGTGACCAAACAGCTGCAGACGACGCTGGCGATGCTATCGGCGCTGACGGACAAACAGGCGAAGCACATGGAAGACCTGCAGGGAGTGCGAGAAGAGCAGGCCGCTATGGAGACACGCCTCTCGGCGGAGACGCGAGCCCTGGGGGAGCGCGTGGAGGCCATGGAATGGAAGATGAAATGGGGCGGAGGGGGCTCTACCAACAGCACGACGACGGCGGAGGTGGATACGATTGGGGCCCCCAAGCAACCTGCGCTCATTTTGGGCGGATGGGAGGGGGACACTCCAGCGGCGGAGGTGCTGCAAAAGGCGAAGGATGTGGTGAGGCAACTGCAGTTGGACGTGGATGTGGACCACATGTTCGTGCCAGGGGTTCGGAGGGGGTTCACTTTGATTCCCCTGCAGGGGGCCCATCACGATGAGACCGGCGAGGGATATCGCCAGCGCATCCAGAATGCCATCACCAAGGTGCGCCAGGCCAAAGTGCAGCTGGGGCGGAGAAGGCGGAGGGGTGCGCTACTTGTTCCTCGCCATGAGTCAGCCACCAGAGAGGAGACGTCGAGCCCGCTTGGCAGCAAAAGTGAAGAGGTGCATTCTGGAGCTTGGGGGGCACAAGCCTCAGATCGAGGCAGAATTCGCCACGGGTACTGTCTGGTACCGGGGGGTCAGGATCTCCTCAGCGGCCACGCAGGCGCCACGGGGGGCGGACTTCGCAGGACCTGGATGGGTCGACACCAAGGCCATGGCAGAGGGGCTGGACCAAGAGCACCAGGCGATCCAGGAGCACTGGAGGGGCTAAAGACCTCCCTCAGTGACGCCGGGGCAAAAGTGGCAAAAAGTTTCACCACGCGGGGCCACCCGCGCAGGCACTGACAGGCCTGACTTGGAACGTTGGGGGGGCCGGGGCTCGAAGAGCACTCGACGCGATGCACCGCCAACCTTCAATGTGGCGATGATGCAAGAAATCATATGTGAACCGGGAGCCCATGAAGAATGCAACCCTGAATGGACACTGGTGTTTGGCAAGAAGGAGGGGGAGTGGAGAGGGGAGGGGGTGGCATACCTCAAGGCCTATTTCGGCCACGTTGCACCGGGGTGGTTGCAGCTCACATGCCGCACCATGCGACGCTACCACAAGCGCAACACATCCTCACTGAGTGGGGGGACAGCCCTCACCTGCAACAACGCCGTGCGCTAATTGGGGCGGACATGAATGAGACGTTCCGCAGCTGCGGGGGGGCGGGGATTGCCGCTACCACAAGCAGGGGGGAGGCCATCCTGGAATGGGCGCACGCACAGGGAATGTATTTCCCGGAGCAGCAGCTCACGACACCCACGTACCACCCCTATAACACCCGGATGACATCCCGGCGGCTGGACTACATCCTGCTCAAAGGGGCCGGCGGGGGGGCAGGGGGGCAAGTCCTGGAGGGGACAAGGGACGTTGTGCAATCCGATCATGATGCAGCCCAGGTCCCCACGGGCATAACCACCAGCACTAAGCCTAAGCACAAAGGGGAATGGGGGCCCAGAATACTCAAAGCTGACGACGCGGTGGAGGCGACACTCAACCTGCCACCGCCAGGGGGCGACCCGCACTCCGAGCTCGCCCATGTTGCGCGGCGAATCACCATAGCAGCCCCCCAACAAGGTGAACCATGGAGGGAGAGTGAACACCTCAAACTCCTCCGACGCACAGCGCACCACTCCCCTCCCCACGGCAGACGTGAAGCATGGAAGCAAGTGTGGCGGCAGCTCAAGCTGGAGCGGAAGGAGTGGATGCAACGTAAGGTTGAGGCGGCGGCGGGGCAAAACTGGGGGGAGCTCAGATCCCTGGGCGCCTTGAAACAACGAAAACAATGGGATGGCGTCCTCCTCGCTGAGGAAGACTGGGAGGACAAACTGCGGGGGCACTTTACTGGTATTTTCGCACGGGCCCCGGGGGCGGAGGTGAACGCGGCGATGGACGGGTTGAGAGGGAGGCTTCGTCGCATGTGCAAAGTCACACCCTGGCGGCCCTTCACAGATGATGAGCTGGATGGCACCGCAGAAAAATGGGGGAGGCGCAAGGCTACGGGGACGGATGGTGTGGCGCTAGAAGCACTGATGGCGATGAAAAAGCATGCGGGTTGGAGGGGGCGGCTGCGCTGGATCCTGGATGACCTCCTCTACACAGGCATCCTTAGAGGCCGGGTGGGGGAAGGCATCACGGTGCTACTATGCAAGGTACACACACCACAGGAATGGGGGGACACGCGCCCGATTACCCTGTCCACTACGCTCCTCAAATGGATGTCGCAGTTGCTGCTGTCCAGGGGGGCCCCACAACTCACACCACTCACGACACACCAGTGGGCATGGAAAGGCAAGCAAGCAGAGGAGCTCCTGCTCCTAATTCGCAAGCTTATGCAGACGGCGGAGGAGTGGCACATCCCCTTTTGGGTCGTCAAACTGGACATCCGCAAAGCCTTCGATAGCGTCCTGCAGCAATCCCTGGGGGCTATGGTAGCATACCACGTGGGCGAGAAGGGGGGCATGCCGTGGGAGGCGCAGGCCTGGCTCACTTTACTCCAGGCCCAGCAGGTCAGGGTGGTGGCGGGGGGCACAGTGGTGGACATCCAACAAACGACGGGGGTGCGCCAGGGGGCACCGGATGCGCCGGTCCTGTTCTCAGCACTCATTGGGCGCATCCTCCAGCGATGTCTCCCCGACATCGACACCTCGCAGTCCCAAGCGGACCACCCCCCTTGCCCCACGGCGGGAGGGGCATTTATGGACGACACCTACCTTTGGGATGAATGCCCCAGGAGATTGCAGCACCACATCACCCAATTTGAGCACCGACTGAAACAGGAGGGCCTAGAGATACACGGGAAAAAAGTCGCCATACTCACCAATGGGGACACGGAGTGCAAATTCAAGGTGGGGCACACATGGGTTACCCCCGGGGGGCCGGAGGACAGCTTTGATGTGCTCGGCTCTCCTGTGGCATTCCGCGGGCTGGCGCACAAACTCGGGGGGGAGATGGCGGCGAGGGCCCGGCGGGCCTTCTGGGGGCGCAAGGCGGAACTCACGGTGGGTGTGGCGTTGAAACCTCGCTTAGCTTTGCACCTCGCCTACGTCAGACCGGCGGCGCTGTGGGGGGCGTCGGCGTGGCCGATTCAAGAAACGCTTCTCAAGATGGCGAACACGCAGCAGCTGCAGCAGGTCCAACGCATGATCGGACACGCCCGTAAACGAAACGAAACGTGGGCAACCTGGCATCAGCGCACTATGCGACACGCCAGAATGGTTATGCACAAGGAGGGGGTGAAGAGGTGGTCCACACACGCGCTGGAGCGCATCTGGCAGCTCCACGGACATGTCGCCCGGCAGATGGGGGCGACCAACGCGACACTGTCATGGCGGGGGCAAGAGTGGTGGCGTATGCAGCAGCAGAGGCCTCGGGGGGTTAGGCGCCCAAAGAGATTTAACCCGCACATGAGCACGCAACGTCAGATTGCCAGCGTGGCGGGCGACCAGTGGCTCACAGTCGCGCAAGACCGCACAGCCTGGCAGAACCTCCAGGGAGCCTTCCTCAACAAGTTCGACCCCCAGTGGTCAACAGGCCGGCAACCCTCGCTGCAAAACCTGGCACCGAACAAAAAAGAGACCCCAAAAGCACCCAAACCGCACCACCGGCGCAAAGCGCTGCGCGGATGACCTCTGGCCTGAGGGATAGCGCAGACACGGGGGGGGGGGGAGGGCACAGAGGGGTACTAGGAAGGAGAGGGGATGCGGCGATGGGGGGCTGGAGAGGGGGGCAGGCGGGATTCTTCACTCACGCTCGGGGCCGCGGGCCAGCGGCACACACCACGCGGATTGCACATGCTTTGCCTTTGTCGAGTTGTTAAGATGTGCAGCATGTGGCAGCTCTTTGGCATCGCAGGGGGCCTTCACTCACGCCCGGGGCTGTGGGCCGGCGGCACACTTCACGCTAAGGGGGGGCAGGCGGGATTCTTCGCTCACGCTCGGGGCCGCGGGCCAGCGGCACACACCACGCTGATTGCACATGCCTCACCCTTGTTGAGCTGTTGCGATGTGCAGCATGCGACAGTTCTTTGGCATAGCGGGGGGCCTTCACTCACGCTCGGGGCCGTGGGCCGGCGGCACACTACACGCTGATTGCACATGCTTTGTCTTGTCAAGTCGTTGCAGTGTGCAGCATACAGCAGTTTGAGTGGCATGAGTGACTGCACCCGTGCGGTATTGCAGCCGCGCCTGCTTGAAAAGCACGCAGAGAGTGGGGCAACCCACAAACACGCACAGCACTACCCGCCATGCGCAACGCTGTATGGCTCGTGATGGCGGCTGCAGCTCTCGCGGGAGGGGGGCTCCACGTCTGGGGACGCCCAGCCGGCCAGGGGGGGCAGCACGACTCAGACCCACCCACAGCACGCACGGGGGGGCCACCGCGCACACCGGAGCCGCGCCCAGTACCGCCGAACCCCGCGGACCAACCAAACCAGCACAGCGAGACCGCCACCGCAGCCACCACCGAACCAATGGGAGAGGGACACCAAGAAGTACATGAACGTGACCATGGCAGGGACATTGAGAATGCAGAGAGCGACCCAGCCCAACCGAGCCAACCACCCCCCGCACTGATGGGGGTTCAGGCCCAGTCCAGACCCGACAGACCGCGAGCCAACCAGGCCCCGGCGGAGCCCGCCCCGCACCATGGCACCGCCCAACAACCGCCCAGCTCCAATCTGTGGGTACCCGGCACAACCCGATGCGGCGGGGCAGTGGCCTGGGGGCACAGTCCCCATCACCAGCTACGACCCAGAACACGACCCGTGGAACCCCCCCGAACCACAACCCGCCACGCACCCACACCAAGGCGGGGGGCCACCACTCACCCACCCACCACCACAACCGCCGGCGCCGCGAGGGACCGCAAACATGGAGGGGCCGCAGCGACCTCACATGGTCCGACTGGGAGCAGACGTACACCTCGCGGTCGCCTGGGCCTACCTCGCCCAGGCGGCTCACCAACACCCACACCCACACCAGTCCCTCGCAACGCCTAACACGGGGTACGAGCCGATAGCGGCGCTGCCACCCCCAAAGTACCACCAGAGCCAGCGCCGAAGAGACCACAACGACACCCGCCACCCACGAAGCAACCGCCAGCCACGCAACCACCACTGCACCGCCCCCAAGACAACGCGGCGACGATGGCGGGGGCCGCACCACACCACCACCAACAGCAGCGCTCTCCGCCACCGCCGAGCGGGCAGACTCCACCACGGCAGCAGCAGGAGCCAGCCACGCAACCGCCAACGCACCAACACCAAAATGCCGGGGCGACAGCAGCGGGGAGCGCACCACACCACCAACGACAACAGCACCTTCCACCACCACCACGAGGGCAGACAGCAGCGGGGGGCGCACCGCACCGCACGCAACAGCAGCACCTCCCACCATCACCACAAGGGCAACCGACAGACCCGTGGCAGCATCAACAGCCAGCCACGCAGCTACCAACACGCCAATCCCCATCCGACATGGCGACGACGGAGGGGGGCGCACCGGCCCATCAGCCGCAGCAAGCACAGCAACCCGCGCCATGGGAGGGTCAGCGCACCAAACCCCCGCCCCCCGAACCGCCAGCAACCATCCCAGGCGGGGACATGGGAGAAGGGGGGCCAGCACCGGCAGCAGACACTCAGCTACCAACACTTCCCGCAACTGAACCGGCGAGCAGCCTGGCAAACCCCACACCAACTGACACCAACCCACTGGGAGAGGGGGGACCGGCGGGGGGCGGAGGCGGGGGCTACAGCTGGGAGACAGCGGAAGAGGCTGTGGCGCGCTGGCTTCGCAACAAGCATGAGGGGCAGGGGAGCAGCGGATGCGGAATCGGGCCAACAAGGCCTGGTGGGCGTGGTTGCGGAAACAGCGAACAAGGCAGTGGGAAAGGGGCCAGCATGGCAACTGGGGGGCGAGCTCCAGCAGCAGCAGCAGCGCACCAGCAGTCAACTGGGCAGAAATGCTCAACAGACACAAAAATAGGCCACCGCAGCAAGACGAGCCACCACCAACACCAACATCCACCAGCAAGCAAGCCACAGAAGACCGTGAGCGCTACGAACACAGACAGCACCCTGACCCCCCGACAGAAGACATGGGGGCCAAGGGGACATACAACCAACGCAGCAGGGGGGGCAGCCCGCGGGGGTGGCGACACCGCTAGCGCACCAGCAGCAGCAAGGGGGGGCACCACCACCACCGCCACCACCACCACCACCACCGCTACAACACGCGCAACTGCCAGATGCGGGGGCACCCATACAGACACGCAATGCACCAGGGACACAGCCGGGCAGCAAGCAAGACACAGAAGACAGACTCCGATACGAGCAACGCCTGGCTGCGGAACAGACGACCCACCCCAGGGCGAGATCAGCAGCGACTGTGCGCGCCACACAACCCCCACACCCCCCAGACGACAGCTCTGAGACCCACTGGGACAGCAGTGATGATGGCAGTTCGTCAGGGGGCCCCCCACCACAGTCCGACCCAGATCCCGATGATGCTGATGAGGGGCCATGGAACTGGACCATCGATGGGCCCCCGATACTCCCCCTACTCCCACAAGACCAAGCAATCTTCCACATTGGAGTGCGAAAGGGGGCGCAGTGGCACGTCAGCATACGCCCCGGACACATCTACATCCCTCCCGGGCGCAGAGTGGTGCAAAGGCCGGAGCACACCCCGCGCCACACTCAACCAAACCGGGGACTGCCACTGGCCACGGGGTTGGAGGGGGAGCTACGCAAACTGCGGGGGGTGGATGAGTGGGTGCTTGCAGTCACAAACACGGTGGAGGCAATGGACGGGTGGGGGGGGCACACCACGCAGGGGGGGACCACACCGATGAGAGTGGGAGACTACGCCCGAATCACACCAGACGTGCCGCCGCCAGGGACCAGAGTCCAACCCTCTGTCGTCACCGTGCTGCACACACAACCCCCAACACACACGGCGGGGGAACAGGAGCCACCCACGAACCCCTCAGATTCCCCCCAGGGGGGACATGAGCCCAGCGCCACCACCACCACGTACACCACCCTCACAGCGGACGCTAGAAGCCACCACCTCACCACCACAGTGCCGACTGTCACAACCACGACCACCACCACCACAAGGCATGCACCCGCCCAGGAGGAGGCAGACCACACCGAGCTCATGCAGAGGGGGCTTGGCCACCCAGAAGGGGGGAGGGCGGGCATGCCGGGGGGCGAACCACCACGCCAGGGCGAGGCAGCGAGAGAGAGCAACGGACCACCACAGCATGCGAGAACCCCACCCACACCCATGATATCCACACCGCCCCCTCCCACGCCGGAGGGGGAGGCGCTGCGACACATCATGGCGGCCATGGAGGCCATCCTTCCACGCACCGGACAAGCAGACACCACGGACATGCGCTGGGCCATCCGTAGAGCAGGGAACCACATGCAAGCTGCGCTGGGCTGCCTTTGGGGCCACTTGGGGGACACACCGCACGATTCCACCATGGGAGGAAGAGGCTTCCCCACCACACATAATCCGGTGGAGGAAACACTGCACCTCACCGAATGCCTCGTCACGGGATGGGGGGGGCTGGATGCACAGGCGCGGGGGGAGGATTTAGGCACGCTCCTGCGCCTAGTCCAACAAGCAGAAAGGTGGCTGGGGGGGGTCCGACGCACACGAAGCTGGGAGCTGCACGGGCTGGCAGAGACGGAAATTATAGGAGCAAGGGGGGCCATCGGGGGCGAGCAGCCTTGCGCACACGCACCTTCAACAAGCCGTCTCCCACCTGGAAGCGTGTCTGGGAGGGGCTGCGTGCGTGCTGGGGGATGACTGGCAGCCGGGGCCTGAGCACCCCCAACAACAAGCACAGCAGGGGCCTGAACACCTGCTGCAACAAGCGCAGGGGGCCAGCGGCAGCGGCAGCGAGCACACACCACTCCAGGCGCACTACGCGGAGCCACAGCAGCAGCAGCAGCCGCAACTTACTGGCGTGCACCCAGCAGATGTCATAGGACTGGCGGCGGGGGCAGTAGAAGCACAAGAAAGAGGAAGCAGCTCCTCAAGCGGGATGCACCCGCACCCACACCCGATCCTGCTCGCCCGCAATGCCATTGGGCACGTCCTCATGGTGGGGGAGATAACTGACGAGCTGTGGCAAGTCTACCAGGTGCTCAATTCGTGGATCACCGACCTTGGGGGGGGCGATGCGGCGGCAAGAGAGCACGAAGGGGGCTACAAAAGGGGGGCATCTCACGCATCCCGGCAAGCCGCGGCCAACAAGCACCCGAGACATGAAGCAGTAGAAGGGCAGCATCCACATGGGGGCGACATGGCAGCGATGGCGCCGGTGGGAGATGCAGCGCCTCTGGGGCAAGATCGAGATAGTGGCAGCCAGAAGAACGAGACAGACGGCCTGGATGGGGGCGAGCGAGACCTGGCGAACGCGAGGAACGAGGCGAACGTCCTGGGAGATGCAGTCGGACCGGGGCATGATCGTGACTCTGGCAACCCGAAGACCGAAGCCAACCACCTGGATGGGGGGGCAACGTCCCACAAGCCGGCGGACACATGTGAGACGCTCGAGTGGCCGCCCGGGGGCGAAGCGTTTGGCGCGGAGAGCGGCGAGGGGCTACAGCGAGATCGAGAGCTACTGAGTGATGGGGGGCAGAACTCCTCGGATGATGAGCATAGGAGACGTAGGCTGCTGGGGGCCCAAAGCAAGTAATGAACATAGGGGGGCCCAGTATGTAAAGGGATCCCGAGGGGCACTAAGGAAGGGGGCATGCTTGGGGGCCTTCGGCCGTTTTCTCACCGTGGCCAACCTGAGGACTCACAGCAGGAGCCACAACACTCATGCACCCTCCTAGGGGAACCTACTAAGGACATGCTAGGGCGCTTAGGGGGCAAGTAAAATGTTTTTCGGGAGGAGGGACAGCAGCGACCGCCACAAACGCATTGCAGAGTTGATGACTCGAGTTGGGGGGCTGGGGAGGACTTGTTTTCGGGAAGGTTCGATAGCGCTGGGGGCAGGGGAGGCTTCGCTTCGGGAAGGCTTGGCAAGGCTTGGCAGGGGTCGAGGATGAGGGGTACACGTGCAGGTTTGGGGGCTAGGGCCGAATTCTCTGGGGCAGGGCTGGGGGGTTAGGGTTTCAGGGGTGTCTGAAGAAGAAGGGATTGAGGGTCGACAAGTAAGCAATGCGGAGAGCACAGCGAACGGGTCGAAACAGGCCCTGTTCAGGTGGCGGCATGCGTGCTGCGGCCAAAGGGCCGGCGTCGTGAGTGGTAGCGCGGATCTGACGCGGGAGCGGGGCGCGCTGTCGCGCGGGGGGCCCTGGGCTCCTCAAGCCCCAAAGAAAGAAAGAAAGAAAGAGAGTGAGAGAGTGAGAGAGTGAGAGAGTGAGAGAGTGAGAGAGAGAGAGAGAGAGAGAGAGAGAGAGAGAGAGAGAGAGAGAGAGCGAGAGCGAGAGCGAGAGAGTGAGACAGAGAGGGAGCTTTCTGAGCACAGCTCCGAAGTGCGCCCTCTCTCCCTCTCTCCGCATCGAGAGAGAAACTCAGATTGTTGTTTTTCATTTACACTGACATCTCTCTCTCTCTCTCTCTCTCTCTCTCTCTCTTTTCACAGCCCCTTTCTTCTTTGATTTTGCCCACCGAGAGGCATCGGTCGGCTGCGGCCTCGGCTTCGAGAGAGGCTCCCACTTTGAGGGTATCTCTTTGACTTGCTGTTGTGTAAAGTTATGCTTCTGCTACTGTCGAAGGTTTGTCGTGTGTTTCGCAGCCGTCTTCGCTGCCATGCTATCACGTGCAAGGTCTTGCGGTGCATACAAAACATCACAAGACATTGAGTCCATTGTGTACCAGAGCCGGACGAGACGAGCTTCACTGACACAAGGAGGTGCAGTGCGACCATCGTTGCGCGGAGCTTTGCGGGTTGGACTACGAGCTCACATGTTTCAGCAGATCCCACATACAACAGCATACAACAAACCTTAGCACTATTCGGCCCGAGCGCCCGCATGCGTGTGCACTGTTCGTGGCCTCGGGCGCATGAGCAGCAACTTGGCCACAACCATGGTTCAGTATAACGCATGTTGTGAGTTGCGCCCACAGTTTCAGACCAGCTGCCAGACAAGATCAGACAAGGCTTCACACGGCTGCTGCTTGAAAAAGGCCTGACCTATGGCACTTCGGATGGCGCATTGCAGAAACCTCAGCGGAGCGCGGAGTGCCAGCTGTGCCCCTCGCCGCCGTCGTTGTTCGTCATTGTGCACACAATAAGGCCACATCGCTCTCGGGCGAGAACAGACGAGGCTCTGCGTGGCACACTTGTTGACTCGAGATCCCACTGGAAAAGACTTCAGTCGTGTCTTCTGGTGATTCTAATGTGCAGCCCTGCTACTGCAATTCTTGTGCGCTTGTCTTCTCTCCTAGGCAGAGGAGGACCCGCGGACTGTGCCTCTGGACAAGCTCCTGGAAGAGTTGGACCAAGAGGACGCGACGGAAGCCCGCGGAGTCCACAGCTGGCTTCCAACTTCCTGTTTCAGCGCTGAAGACTCGAGCCATACTGTAGCACTGCAACTGACGGCCACATGTATTGTATGTAACCTCATATTATATTTATATATATACATAGGTATATATAGAGAGAGAGAGAGAGAGAGAGAGAGAGAGAGAGAGAGATCGATGGATATGCAAAAAAGAGCACTGTATTCTTTGCACGGAAGAAAGGACCGCTCAGAGCCATCGGTGTCCTCGACAGCGGAGCCCGAGGCGCCAGCGCCTGCAGCGCCCACCCAGGCGAGGGAGGGCACCAGAGAAACAGTGCTGGAGAGCAGCGTGAACACTGTGAACACGTGAAGCGCCAGCGTTTCTCGAGGTTAAGGACAAGCGCTGGAGCTTTCAGAAGCTGCCAATGGAGGCACCGGAGAATGGCAAAAACAAAAGCTAACGGATGGGCCGGATCAGAGGCTACCAAATCCACCTCCTGAGCGTCATAAAAACACGGTTCCAAACAAAGGCCAGGCAACTCAGACACACAAAGCCAGCCTGGCACATTTTGCATTGAGTTCAAAAGTCATGGCTTCGGACGCCGTGCAACAAAGCTCAGCGTGGTCGAGATTTCAGACTTTCGGACCCACCCCCATCCTCACACAGACTCGCAGACTCACGGGACTTCTTCATATATTTTTGCTTCTGAGCTGGTGAGCCTTGGGCTTTAAGTGCCTTGCTGCAGCATGTTGCTTCGCTTTTTCTGCAGGGCTGCCCCGACCTGCGGCAACGCTGTAAAGAGGCAAGCCGGCCACGGCAGCTGCAGCATTATTCATCCCGTGCGTTGGCTTCTTGTGTGTGCATGCGTGTGTGTGTAGTCGTGACTTTGTGAATTTCCGCTCCTGGTTCCGGTTTTTTGTGCCTCCCTCATAAGTAGTAGTGAGTAGTGGTTGGCGGGCAACTATGATTTTCCTCTGTGTGTGTGTGTGTGTGTCCCTGTGTGGGGTGTTTGATCAATACCCAATCACCCAATCAATCTTGTCGAAAGTTTCGGCGTGTGTTGCAAATGCCCGGATGTTGTGACCACGTCGTGTGGCGGCACTCAAGTTTCAATGATTTCGCATGATGTTCTCAGCAGGAGCAGGAGGTAATTTGGGAATGGACTGGGGCAGGTGCCACTGAAGACCCGTGGGACGCCACCCCTACGTTCCTGCTTCGAGGTTTTGGGTTCCATTGTTCCCCAAACAGTTCTACTGTTGGGGTCCTAAATTCGTTTATGGAATTGCCGGCATTCTGGTGAGCATTGCCGGGTTCCTGGGCACCATGTCTCCATTTGTGTCCCTTTGTCTCCCTTCAGGTGGGTGGCCTTTGCCGGGTTCCTGGGCGTCTCGTCCCTGTCTTCCTTTGTCTCCCTTTTGTCTCCCATGCGGGTGGCCTTTGCCGGGTTTCCTGAGCGTCTTGTCTCCCTTTGTGTCCCTTTGTCTCCCTTTGTCTCCCTTCATGTGGGTGGCCTTTGCCGGATTCCTGATTGTGTCCCTTTGTCTCCCTTCATGTGGGTGGCCTTTGCCGGGTTCCTGCGCGTCTTGTCTCTGTCTCCCTTTGTCTCCCTTTGTCTCCCTTCGTGTCCCTTCATGAGGGTGGCCTTTGCCGGGTTCCGGAGCATCTTGTCTTCCTTTGTTTCCCTTTGTCTCCATTTGGCTCCCTTCATGTGGATTGCCTCTGCCGGGTTCTGGGCGTCTTGTCTCCCTTTGTTTCCCTTTGTCTCTTTTTGATTCTATTCATGCGGGTGGCATTTGCCTGGCTCCCTTCATGTGGGTGGCCTTTGCAAGGATCCTGGGCGTCTTGTCTCCTTTTGTCTCCTTTTGTCTCTTCATGTGGGTGGCCTTTGCCAGGTTCCTGAGTCTTATCTCCCCTTGTTTCCTTTTGTCTCCCTTCATCTCCCTTCATGTGGGTGGCCTTTGCAGGGTTCCCGAGCATCTTGTCTCTTTTTGTTTCCCTTCATGTGGGTGGCCTTTGCCGGGTTCCTGGGCGTCTTGTCTCTGTTCCTTTTGTCTCCCGCTATGTCCCTTCATGTGGGTGGCCTTTGCCGGGTTCCTGGACGTCTCCCCTTTGTCGTTTTTGTCTCCTTCATGTGGGTGGCCTTTGCCGGTCTCCTGGGCGACTTGTTTCCCTTTGTCTCTCTCTCTGTTCATGTGCCTTCATCTCCCTTCATGCGGGTGGCCTTTGCTGGGTTCCTGCACGTCTTGTCGCACTTTGTCTCCCCTCATGCGGGTGGCCTTTGCCATCTCCCTTTATGTGGAAGGTTTTTGCCTTGTCTCCCTTCGTTTCCCTTTGTCTCCCCGGGTTCCTGAGCGTCTTGTCTCCCCTTTGTCTCCCTTGGTCTCCCTTCATGTGGGTGGCCTTCGCCGTGTTCCTGAGCCAAGCAAGCAAGCAAGCAGGAGCGAAGCACAGCCATCCCGCAAGCAAGCAAGCAATCTTTTTGAAATCCATCGTGCGAGCGGGGTGGCGGAGGGGGGGTTGCGCCCCCCCCCAACCCCCCGCTTCTTTGGCCGTGCGAGCGTAAAGCACATGAGTCTTGTTGAAATTCATTGCGCTTGCCAGGGGGGGGTGGGGTGGGGGTTGGACAAAAGCTTTACGACGGAGAATTCGGATGGCTCTGGGCCGGAACGTTGTTTAGCATTCCGGACAAAATGGATGGACAAAACTTCAAGACGGAGAATTCGGATGGCTCTGGCCCAGAACATTGGTTAGCATTCCGGTTACAAAATGGCTGGACAAACAAAAACTTTAAGACTGAGAATTCGGATGGCTCCGGCCCAGAACATTGGTTAGCATTCCGTATGCAAAATGGTTGGACCAAAACTTGAAGGCGGAGAATTCGGATGGCTCTGGCCCGGAACATCGGTTAGCGTTCCGGATACAAAATGGTTGGACAAAAGCTTTACGCCGGAGAATTCGGATGGCGCTGGCCCGGAACGTTGTTTAGCATTTGGACAAAAACTTGAAGACGGAGAATTCGGACGGCTCTGGCCCGGAACATTGGACAGAAACTTTAAGGCGGAGAATTCCGATGGCTCTGGCCCGGAACATCGGTTAGCGCAAGCCCGTCGAGTCTTTTTTTTTTCCTTTAGCCAGCAGACGAAAGGGTCTAGTACCAGGCAGTACCGCGCAGGCAGCGCTGCAAGATACGAATTACTGCGAACAGAATTCATATGCGTTATGCTTGCCCGGCTACACAAAAGCCGGGGGGGGGGGGGGGGGGTTGGGGGCCCATCTGCAAACACAACGCTCACGCGATGGGCAAGCTTGCACGGCCAAAAAAAGCGAGGGGTTGGGGGTGGGGGCATCCGGGCCAGAGCCATCCGAATTCTCCGCCTTCAAGTGTCTGTCCAACCATTTTGCATACGGAATGCTAACCAATGTTCCGGGCCAGAGCCATCCGAATTCTCAGTCTTAAAGTTTTTGTCTCCATTTTGCATCCGAAGTGCTAACCAATGTTCCGGGCCAGAGTCATCCGAATTCTCCGTCTTGAAGGGCTTGTGTGAGAAGCATGGCTGCCTGAACAGTTCCTGGGTTGCATTTGTGTGAGAACCATGCAAACTCTTCAGGGTTACGAAGTCTGGCTGGAACAAACCTTTAGTCAGCTGTGCCCCCTGCCAAATTTAGGCGCGGTGGCTCCCGTGCGGTGGCTCCCGTGCGGTGGCTCGCGCGCGGTAGCTCGCGAGGCTCGTGCGCGGTGGCTCGTGCGCAGTGGCTCGCGTGCGGTAGCTCGCGTGCCGTAACTCGCGCGCGGTGGCTCGCGCGCAGTGGCTCGCCAGTTCCTGGATGGCAACAAACCTTTAGGTTCCTGCGTTGTCAATTGTTGCCCTAGCCGATTCAGGTACGCGCGGTGGTTCGCCAGTTCCTGGGTTGCGTGTGTAAATACCATGCAAACTCCTTGGGCTCATGAAGTCTGGCTGGAACAAACCTTGAGGTTCTTGCGTTGTCAATTGTTGCTCAGCCAATTTAGGTTCCTGCGTTGTCAGTTGTTGCCCCGACCGACCTTGGTGCGGTGGCTCGCGTGCGGTGGCTCGCGTTCAGTGGCTCGCGAAACTCCGTAGAGGGTTCTGATGTCTGGCTGGAACAAACCTTTAGGTTCCTGCGTTGTCGGTTGTTGCCCCAGCCAAGTTAGGTGCGGTGGCTCGCGTGTACTCGTAGTATGAAGGAACTCACTTCACACGATGTGTAGTTTCCTTCTTTTTGGGGTCTTCGGCGGTGTAATGTCTCCCTTCATGTGGGTGGCCTTTGCCGGGTTCCTGGGCGTCTTGTCTGTGTGGCCTTTGCCGGGTTCCAGGACATCTTGTCTCTGTTTCCTTTTGACTCCCTCTCTGTCCCTTCATGCGGGTGGCCTTTGCCGGGTTCCTGAGCATCTTGTCTTGCTTTTGTTTGCCTTTGTCTGCCTGTGGGTGGCCTTGCCGGGTTCCTGGGCGTCTTGTCTCCTTTTGTCCCCTTTATCTCCCTTCATGCGGGTGGCCTTTGTCGGGTTCCTGAGCGTCTTGTCTCCCTTTGTCTCCCTTTGTCTCCCTTTGTCTCCCTTTGTCTCCGTCACGTGGGTGGCCTTTGCCGGGTTCCTGGGCAGCTTGTTTCCCTTTGTCTCCCTTTGTCTCCCTTAATGTGGCCTTTGTTCCCCTTTCTCTCCCTTCATGTAGGTGGCCTTTGGCGGGCTCTTGTCTCCCTTTGTCTCCCCGCTGTATTGGGTGGCCTTTCCCGGGTCCGGCAAAGACCACAGCCGTGAAGCTCAGGAACACGGCAAAGACCACCCACATGAAGGGAGACAAAGGGAGACAGAGGGACGCTCAGGAACCCGGCAAAGGGAGACAAAGGGAAACAAAGGGAGACAAGACGCCCAGGAACCCGGCAAAAACCTTCCACGCACAGGGAGATGGCAAAGGCCACCCGCATGAAGGGAGACTAAGGGAGACAAGACGACCCACATGAAGGGAGACAAAGGGAGACAAAGGGAGACGAAGGAGGCAAGGCGCCCAGGTACCCGGGGCACGAAGGGACACAAAGGGGACAAAGGGAGACAAGACGCCCGGGAAGTTCCTGGGCGTCTTGTCTTCCTTTGTCTCCCCTTGTGTCCCTTCACGCGGGCGGCCTTCCGCGCGCGCGCAAACAAGCAAGCAAGCAAGCAAGCAAGCAACCGTATTGAAACCCATCGTGCGAAAGCAAGCAAGCAAGTAACCAAGCGGCGACGGGAGCAAGCAAGCAAGCTAGCAAGCCAGCAGGAGCGAAGCACAGCCATCCCGCACGCAAGCAAGCAAGCAATCTTATTGAAATCCATCGTGCGAGCGGGGTGGCGGGGGGCGGGGGGGGGGTTGCGCCCCCCGCTCAACCCCCCGCTTCTTCGGCCGTGCGAGCATAAAGCATATGAGTCTTGTTGAAATTCATTGCGCTTGCAGGGGGGCGTGGGGGCTGTGCCCCCCCCCAACCCCTCGCTTTTTTAGCCGTGCAAGCGCGCCCATCGCGCGAGCGTTGTGTTTGCAGATGGGCCGCCAACCCCCCCGCTTTTGTGTAGCCGGGCAAGCATAACGCATATGAATCCTGTTCGCAGTAATTCGTATCTTGCAGCGCATGCCCACGCAGTAATGCCTGGTACTGTCAGACCCCTTTCGTCTGCAACGGGTGCGTGTTCCCGATTGTTTGGAAGTAGAGGCTTGACGGGGCTGAGTGCATGCAGACTGCACACGACGCGTGGCCGTGCGATAACTTCTTTCGCTGTTGGCGTCTGCAGTGGCTAAAGCTACATAGAAGACGTGGCGAGCTTGTGCTAACCGATGTTCCGGGCCAGAGCCATCCGAATTCTCCGCCTTCAAGTGTCTGTCCAACCATTTTGCATACGGAATGCTAACCAATGTTCTGGGCCGGAGCCATCCGAATTCTCAGTCTTAAAGTTTTTGTCTAGCCATTTTGCACCCGCGGAATGCTAACCAATGTTCCGGGCCAGAGTCATCCGAATTCTCCGTCTTGAAGGGCTTGTGTGAGAAGCATGGCTGCCTGAACAGTTCCTGGGTTGCATTTGTGTGAGAACCATGCAAACTCCTCAGGGTTACGAAGTCTGGCTGGAAACTTTCGGTTCCGGCCATGTCAGCTGTTGACCCGGCCAAATTTCGGTGCGGCGGCTCGCGCATGGTAGCTCGCGAGGCTCACGTGCGGTGGCTCGTGCGCAGTGGCCGCGTGCGGTAGCTCGCGTGCGGTAGCTCGCGCGCGGTGGCTCGCGCGCAGTGGCTCGCCAGTTCCTGGATGGCAACAAACCTTTAGGTTCCTGCGTTGTCAATTGTTGCCCTAGCCGATTCAGGTGCGCGCGGTGGTTCGCCAGTTCCTGGGTTGCGTGTGTAAATACCATGCAAACTCCTTAGGCTCATGAAGTCTGGCTGGAACAAACCTTGAGGTTCTTGCGTTGTCGGTTGTTGCCCCAGCCAATTTAGGTGCGGTGGCTCGCGTGCGGTGGCTCGCGTGCGGTGGCTCGCCAGTTCCTGGATGGCAACAAACCTTTAGGTTCCTGCGTGTTAATTGTTGCCCCAGCCGATTTAGGTGCGGTGCCTCGCGCGCGGTGGCTCGCGTGCGGTCGCTCGCGTGCGGTGGCTCGCGTGCGGTGGCTCGCGTGCGGTGGCTCGCCAGTTCTTGGCTTGCATCAATCCTTCAGGTTCCTGCGTTGTCAGTTGTTGCCCCGACCAATTTAGGTGCGGTGGCTCGCGTGCAGTGGCTCGTGAAACTCCCTAGAGGGTTCTGATGTCTGGCTGGAACAAACCTTTAGGTTCTTGCTTTGTCGCTTGTTGCCCCAGCCAAGTTAGGTGCGGTGGCTCGCGTGTACTCGTAGAAGGAAGGAACCTCACTTCACACGATGTGTAGTTTGCTTCTACTGTTTGGGGTCTTCGGCGGTGTAATCTCAATCCTCCAACAAGAACAAAATCCAATTGCAAATAACATGATGTCTTGTCAACCTGACTCCAGCTCAAGTGTCTGGTGTTTGGGTGCCTGAGCGCGGGGAAGGGTTTCACGGTCAGGAAGTGCATCCACTGTGTACTGGCAGAGGCTTTCGAGAGTGTTGTGAAGGACTCCCTCCACGAGGTCAGAGAGTGTTTTCAGTCCGACTCGTAAGTTGTGATGCGTTGTTGCGCGCACTGTTGTGTGGTGCTGTGCTTCAAATTCACTAGATGTTCTCAGGAGGCACAGCCGGCATGCCGGGAAAAGCCGAGGCAACGCACTGTTAAATGTCCAGATCGTTGGGCTTCATGCTGGACGACAGCGACAGGAGAGAACGGAAGACTCCCAAGCCAGAACACTGGAACTTCAGCGCCTCTACTTACTCTACTTCCTTCAGCTCTTCTGTGAGCCGTCCTTCCTGTCTGCTGCCGAGGTTTCAACGTGAACCGCGAGGCAGACGTGATTCCGGGGCGGGGCAAAGAAGGAGCATCACGGAGACCAGCTTGTAATTGTACTGTAATTCTATTGTAATGTGTAAGTGTAGTGAACTTAGAGAGCAAAAGCTCCAGCTTGGAGGTGGTGGGCGCGGAGCTTCTGGAGCTCGACGATGAAGGCCTTCCACAGCCTCCCACTCAGGCACAGCTCCGCCGACCTCCCCCTTTCCCCCCCCCCCCCCCCTCTCCGCCCCCGCTCCGTGTGACTCGCGCAGGATCTCCGGCAGCTGCCGCGGTCCAAGAGCCGCAAGGCCGAGGCCCTGCCGGGTCTGCCGGGCCTGCGGCCGCCCGACTACAGGCCAGCTACAAAAAGCAAAAAAGCAGATTCTCGGATGCTCAGCAGAACTGAGAGCAGCTACGACAGCTGTACGAGCTACCGCACCGAAGAGTTTCTCAACAGATTCAGCCAAAGATTGTGTACTGGGAGTGTACACTTGCAGCCACTTGCACTCTTTGCATCCTTGTGACCTTTCACCGAGAAGAGAGTGGACGCCCAAAACTGCGTAAATAAATGCTTTTTCCGTTTTTTTACCTGTCCTCTTCCAGGCCGGAGCCGGGCCTTGCGAGGCGGGGCTCTGCGCTGACTCCTTTGCTCTTCCGTGTGTTTCGCCATTTTCACCCCTTTTTTTTGTTGACGGAGGCGTCTCGCTCTCTCTCTCTCGCTCTCTCGCTCTCTGTGTCTCGGCTGGGTCTGGTTTTGCTCATGCACACCTGGGACTGCGCCTGCCATGCCTGCCTATCCCTCTCCTGCTGCCCCTCTCTCTCTCTGCGAAGGATAAACGATACCCGCGATTTCTCAGCGTAGACCCCGGTGAGAGACCCGAAAGAGAATACTCAATGAGGAGCACGTCCAAAGGACACCAAGAGCCCACAAGTCCAGACGACGACCGTTTCACATTTGGCGAGCACAGACGTTCTGAGGCGACGACAGTTTCACATGTCGCGAATCCAAAAGCCAAGGAAAAGCGAGGTCAGTTTCGAGAACGGCGAGAGGCATGCCCCACCTAGGCGAGAGCGCGACGTTCAGCCAGAATGCCGGCTTCGAGCAAAAGTGGCCCGGGCCGCGTGCCGGCCTTGCGCCGCGGGGCTTCAACGACCCGCTTAATTGGCCGATTAGCCGCAACGTAGGAGCCCCTGGGAGTTGACACAGCTTGGGGAATATTCAGGAGTCATACAATGTCATATAACAACAGGGGGTACCTGTGAAATTGTGAGACATTCTGTGACATTCTCGACCAGGTTCAGGCCCATCCCTTGCCAGGAGAACGAATGGATTGAAGGCTCGGGACACCTGTCTCAGCTACTTTTACCACTTTGGACCTTGGAATTGCACTGAGCTGCACCATATCTCTGAGATGTTCTGAGTGCAGGACTCAAGAAGATGGCCGAGGCTCAAAGGCACGGGCTGTTGAAAGTGCTTAACGTTGGAGTTGCCTTGCACTCTTCTCTGCATCCCGCTGCAAGAAGCCTGTTGTGAGTTTCGTCGCCGAATGTCTCCGCTGTCTTGGAGGGGGAAAGACATGGGCGCGAGCCTCCAATCAGAGCCAGGACAGCCATGAGAAACTCCAGGAGTATCCGCAGTATCCGCCACGAAGTCACAAAGATGCAGATGTCGCCCAAAGAAGAAAAGCGTCATGTGCGAGAGTCCAGCACCACGCAGAGCAAAGGGGCCAATTCTCTGCCCTCCCCGCCATGGGCTGCGGCAGCTCCCAGGAAGTCACAGAAGAGCGCCTGGCCTTCCTCGGAAAGGCCACTCTGGGACCGTGTGAGAGCAAGCAAAAGAAGCGAATTTTTGAGACAAGAAAGACAACACACAGAGACCCTAGAGACTCCCCCCCCACTCTGTATTGAGGCAGTTTGACAGCACTTTTGGACTCTCCCAGAGGTCGAGCTTTTCAAGCGTCTGCCGCGGGCCGGGATCCCAGGGGTGACACAGAGGTTTTGGCAAGGAAAGGAGTTTTGTCGGTCGCCTTGCATCAACGATTCGAGCTGCGTTACATGCGACTATAGCAAGGACGAGTTACCAGCACTGGCGCGATCAGCAGAGGAGGTCTCCTTTGCCAAAGACGAGGCTATCATCAACCAGGGCGAGGGAGGTCATCCTCTCAGCAATTCTGTGCATTCTTGCCGTCTCTCTTTCTCTCTCTCGCTCACTCTCCCTCCCTCTCGCTCTTCCCCCCATCTGGGCTGATGGATGCTCGGTTATACCCACATGGCTCGTCACCCCTCGTCTGGTGGAAGCTGCTGCGCTTTTTAAGGTTATGCGTTCTTCATCTTGAAGAGGGGCACTGCAGGCCTCGACAAGACTGCTGGCTCTATACCTGCCTGAATGGATCTCATCTTCGCAGGAGTTACAGTCAATGACCATCGAGTTGCCACGCTCAAGGCCTGCTATCTGAGTTTTTTGGTTTAGATTTGAGGCCTGCTTCTGCTTCTGCTGCTGGTGTTTTTGTGTTGCTCATGCTCGCAAGCGGAGGCTGGTGACTATTTTGGTGAGCATGCGCTACTCCGCGACACGCCGCGGACCGCCACCATCAGAGCACCAAGCTTAGACATGTTGCTATGCTTACACTGGCTTACATGAGCTCAAATTCCTCAACATCAACTCAACATAAATGGCAGCGCTCCCGTGCGAAATCGCTTCTTGGGCGTAGCAAGACCAGGCCACCAGCGAGGTCAAGGCACTGCCGCTCGGATGGACATAGGCCGCCAAAGGGTTAAGGAGTGGGCATCACTCGTGGACACTCGCATGTCGGCCTGCACATGTCTCTGAGGAAGATCACTCGAGAGGCAGCCAAAAAACTCATTGTGGAAGCGCGAGTTTTCTCCCGTCCAGACTTGGTTTGATGGCGAGGCGTTTGTCAAGCTGGAGCTCCACACGAAGCTGGAGTTTGGAAAGCGAGGTCTCACGCATGCGGGTAGCAAGTAAGCAAAGAAGGAAGTCACAACTAAGCGTGCTTCCCGCATTCATGCACAAGCCACGCAAAAACAAGGACACATCACGCCTCGCTGCAAATTTCGAGATGTTCAGAGTTGTGGCTTTCGAAGGTGCCGTTGGTGGAGGCAAGATGGCAGCCGCGGAGATTAAAGCTGCTGACCACAAAACGGCGGATGTGACACGGCGGCGATCTCACTAGATGAAATACAAGCATCCAGCACCCTGCGAGGCGATCGTGCAATGACAAGTTCCCAACCCTGAATTTCTGAATGCACAACGGATCAAGACCACGCGAGAGAATGGAGCATCATGGAGCGGTGCTGAAAGATGTGTTCATGTGTCTTGACAGCCGAGGAGAAGAAGCTGATCGTCCGCTGCCCGTTTTCGCGCGGATTGCTTTCGCGCATTCGCGGTTCAGCCACGGCTACTATAGGCGCTGATAGGAGCTGAGACTCACTGACCGGCTGGCATTTCGAGGCTGCGGCCTTGAAGAACAACGCGAACCTGAACACGATCGCGAATCTGGATGAAGAGAAGTGCCTGGGAGCAAAGCGGGGCAAACCATTTTTTGTGGCATCCGCCTCGTTAAGCATTCATACAGTGACATGCTGGAAATGGGATTGGGAGGGGGGCACTGGATCTAAAGCTCGATGATGCGGAAGTGTAGAATGAGAACGGAGGATTGGTGCCATGGTGAAAGTGATGTGGAAGGAGGAAGTGCCCAAGGGGACGGCGCTGATCACACAGGGCGACCTGCAGGACCTCCTAAAGAAGAAACTCATCTGCTGCAAATTGTTGCAATATAACCCACATGGATCAATGAACACGAATTTATGCGCGCGACCCACGCTTGCACCCTGAGCTCCCCTTGTGCAGGCGGACTACTTCTACGTGGTCCAGTCGGGCAGCTTTCAGATTTCCAAGACCGACAGCGGCAGTGCCGAGAAGTGCGCGGAGCCATCGCAGCCATCGCAAAGTCACAGAGCCTCGCAGTGTCCAAGATGTTGAGAACATTTTCTGTAGCTTAACCCGCGTGGCCAGGGTGGCTTCTGCTGCCTTGGGCTCGATCGAGGCAGGGCATTTTGAGTCAGCTGTGTCCTTTAAAGCATATGAGAGAGAAGGTACAGTGAAGGTGCTCCCTTCTCTTCTTGCTTGGCCCACCTGTCTTTCCTGTCTTTGAGGCCGGTGGGAGTTTCGGGGAGCTGGCTCTGCTCTACTTCGCGCCCCGAGCTGCCACGATCACGGCCACGGCGGCTGCTGTCGTTTGGGTCACAGCGCGGCAGCAGTTCAAGGACTTGCTCATGAAGGCTATAGTGATTTCAGGAAGCTGCCTGTGGAAATTGGGCAGTTTTTCTTGACTCGTGACACCTGCAGGCGAATGAGACAGAGATTCAGGAGAATCTCAAGCACGTTGCGGCCCTGATTGCCGGCGTGTGAAGATGTCAAGACTGTAAAGCGTATGTAAAGACACCGCCCATCTTCAGTGTGACCGCAGGCTTGGGCTCAAGGCTTGGGCGCGGCATGACACGACTCACGAGTCTGGACTCCCAAACGTCAGAGCAAGTAGGCAAGTCTCTCATGTCACGTGACATAATCTTTTTTTGCCGCCTCGTTACGACAGGAGCTCTTTCTCTCTCTCGCTCTCTCTTCTTTCTCCGCTCGTGGCTCTTCGCCGACGCCTGATTGCATCATTCTGCGTCTCCGTGGCAGAATCTGGAGTGATGAGGTACACGCACTATGCAGAAGTCTCCAATAGTTTCCAGCGCCCTTTTTTCCAGCACTCCCAAGCCAAAACCTAAAGGCAGTGGCCCAAAGGCTAAATACTCGTTGCAGGCGTTCCCAATAGCTGTTGCAGACGTTCCCCATTTATTCCCTCTCCCTTTTCCCCAATGGTCCCAAGGTCATTTGCCCACAGCCCCCTGGAGCCCCAAGCCCGCCAAGCCCAAGAACCTGAACTGCTGTGTTGCTCGGGGCTGTTTGGGGGGTTTTAGGGCAGGGGCCTAAGATTGAGATGAGGGAAGCATGAGCTGGCGCATGTGAGAAATCAGTTTATTCGGTGTCTCTTTGTTTCGGACGACACCGCCCAATCGACCGGCAATGGCCACTCTCCTACTACTAGAAGACCTTTGCAGATGTCTGGTCACAAGAAAGCATCATTCCCTCGCCCTCGTCGAGAAACTTGCGCCCCCCGCTGACCCGCCCGCGGGCGTCTCATCATAGTCTCAAGGTTGCGAGATGTGATCACATGTGCACCTCTCGCGACTTGACACTGAAAGGAGGCCAATGATGACCAAGCCCCAGTGATATCTGCAGGTGCTGCTGGCATCGGCTGACCCTGCGGTTGAACAAAAGACTCTGAGTGGGGATCCTGCGATGCTCGTTACATCCGCTTTGTTGCACAGGTCGGAGGTTGTAACTATATGAGACATCGTTGGAGTCTCAAGGTCGGCCGCTGTGGCATGTTCGATCCCCTCAAGGACGGGGGGCAGGGTCGAGAAAACATCACATTAAGAGTCGAGAAAACATCCATGTTAAGACTTCAGTGCGCATCCCTCCCCAGTTTTGGGCCAGCCCCCCAGGCGGCTTGCTGTGCATTTTGGGCCCCCCGCAAAATGCATTTGTTTTTTTTGTTGGTCCCTGGCAAAACGCGTCACATGTGCGATGCTCCGTACCCGGCGGGGGCTGCCGCAATGCATTCTTCAGCCGCTGTAAAATGCACGGAGCCGACCCGGATACGCGGGGGCGCGGCAGCACTGTCCCCGGAGGGCCTTCGTGCATTTTTCAGGCGCCGTAAAATGCATCAGGCCTTTGCCCGAACTGTTTCGAGAAGAAAGGCTATATAAAAGGACACTGAAAGGTAGCGTTACAGATCGATGCTATTTATAAGAGATTGTTTTGTGGTGCAGATTGGGGCCCTCGCAAACCAGGCCCGGCAAAACGCATCACATGTGTGATGCTCTGTAACTGAGAACGGTTGCAAAAATGAAAACATAAATTGAATTTTCAATTCATATTACATAGAAGCCAACGTAATATTCCAAATTTTGTAGTAGAGGCAGAAGTCTGACAAGAACATGTATAAAAATGAATCCGGGGGTACATGATGTGATAAATGTTCGTTGTCTTGTTTTGAGTTGTCAGGAGTACGAATGACTGTCCTAAAAGCATTAAACTCCAGACCCTAAAAATCCCTAAACCCTAAAAAGTTCTAAGCCCTAAAACGGCATAGGCATCAAAGAAACATATGCATCAACAAAAAAAATAGGGATCAATTAAAATAATAAGGATAAAAAATAAAATAAGCCATCCGGCCCACCTGCGTGGTCCTCTGGTCCCGTCGTCCTCTGGTCCCGTGGTCCTCTGAATATGAAGAAATAGAGATTTTCCGATTAAAAGATAGAGAAAATAGAAGGTTTTCCAACCACTACCACCACTACTACCCATCGTGCGAGCATTGTGTTATGTTTGCAAATGGGCGGGGGGGGGGGGGGGGGGGCTGCGCCCCCCCCCCCCCCCCCCGCTGTATTCCAGGAGGAAAATGGGTTACTTTTTGATGCTTATATTTTTTTGATCCCTTGGGGTTAGTTTTTTTGAGGTGTATTTGTTTTGTTTTTTGATCCTTCACCCCCCTGAAACGCCCTGAAAAAGCCCAGAACCCTAAAAGGCCCTAAGCCCTGAGCCCTAAAACCCCCTAAAAGGCCCTCACCCCCTAAAAGACCCTAGTCCCTAAAAACCCTAAGCCCTAAAAAACCCTAAACCCCAAAAAGCCCTAAACCCCCTAAACACCGAAAAAGCCCTAAACCCTAAAAAGCCCTAAGCCCTAAATTCCTACATCCTAGACCCTAAAAATCGCTAAACCCTAAAAGGCTCTAAGCCCTAAAACGCCCTAAACCCAAAAAAATCCCTAAACCCTAAAAGGCCCTAATCCCTAAAAGGCCCTAAGCCCTAAAAAGCCAAGGCGCTAAAACCCCCTAAAGGCCCCTAACCCTAAAAAAGCCCGAAGTCCAAAACATTCAGCTGAACAAGAAACCCAATGGGTAGGTCAAAATGAAAAACAACATAAGCAACCCAATAAAAAAGTGCAGAAAACGATGTTTCAAAGACACACGCATTGTTACTAAACCTAAAGAAAAACACTAAATTATGCCGGCGAAGACCCCAAACAGTAAGATTGCAGATCAAGGGAAAGCGGCATGAAGCAATAACGCGACGCGTAGAATTCGGCAGGCCGAGTTTACAATCAGAAAAATTGGGCTCAGTATGGAGGCATGGATTTCAGGCTTCTCTTTGGAGCTGCCAGGGGTCGGAACAACCCATCCAAACGATGGATTGACATGGATGTCCAAGCGCTGCCCACATGTATTTTGCTAAGCCTGAAAAATGCCTGATTCTGGGTCTGGTACTCCTGCAAAATGTCGAGCATTGTTCTAAACACGTTTTTTAATTCCTACAGCTACTTTTATGCACAGAACACACATCAGAAGAATCGAATACGTCATGAGCCAGCAGAAACCAAGACTAAACATGATAGGAAAAAAGTGCCAAATGCATTCTTCGGGCGACGAAACATGCATTTGGAATGCCCTAGAAATGCATGTCGGGTATTGGTCGTAAACACCAATCTATTTTTTTTGTTGTTTTCGTTTGTTTTTCATGCTGTAATGGAGCAAATCGAATAGATATGGATGACCAGATGCTGCCGAATGCATTTTGCCAGGCCTTGGTTGCGCAATCAATGGTCGGGCCGCGGAAGGAAAGTTGCATGTTGCGAGCCTTGAAAACGCTTTAATGCCGAAGTCACTGGGGTCTTGAATTGCACAGGCAAGTTTCGGCTCACTAAGCAGGCAGAACAAGCTTTGGAAACCTGCTTGTCCTTGAGAAAGTTCTGTTTTATCGGGCAGCAGCGTAGGTTGCAATCTTCGATAAGAGCATGTTCCATGCTGAGTAGATTGTCAGTGTGTAAAATTCACCTGTAGTGTTTGCCCAGTTGGTGCCATGTGGTGTTTGACCATACAGAGAGAAGCATGAGAGTTTTTCTGCTGCATGACTTGGCATGGGCATGTTTGGTTTGTTCCGAAGTTCCTAAAGCATGTTTGGGTTGACTGCGAGCGAACAACGCATTTGGTCTTGCTTTCCACATGTGCAGCGCCGCGTGCTCTTTCTGCACTTTTTCAAAGCGAAAACAGCTGAATGCATTTGGGCACAGGCAAAAAATGCATTCGGACTTTGGTGTCTTCCGTACGGGGCCTCTGTCTTTGACACAAAAGTCAGCTATCAAGCGAGTTTTTTATTGTGGTTTTGGAAGGAGCAAGTTGCGCGAATACATTTTGCCTGCTTTGCAAAATGCATCTGGGCATGTTGCTTTTGATTTTAGGCCCCTTTTCGGGAATTTTGCGAAACGGTGATTATGGTTCTAAACGCGTTCAAATCCTATATATAGATGTTCTCATGCGCAGAAAGACAAATTTCAGCCGGCAGAAACCCAAGATTGCAACATGATAGGAAACCAGTGCCAAATGCGTTTCCGGGCGACGAAGAATGCATGTGGAATGCCCTCAGATGCATGTCGGGGAAATGTTGGTCGTAAAATACCAATAGACATGGATGTCCAAGCGCTGCCCGAATGCATTTTGCCAGGCCTACAAAAGCGTTTGGTCTTGCTTTCCACATTTGCAACGCCGTGCTCTCTTTGTGCACTTTTTAAGAAGGCGAAAACAGCTGAACGCATTAAAGCGCGGGCGAGAACGCTCACCACGGGCCCGAACCGCGTGACACCCGCCCGGCCCCATTGCGCTCATGGTCGGAGACCATGGGAGACCACGAATCCAAGCGCGTGATACCCTCTTAAGCCCTGTCGCTCATGGCCACGGAGCCGGATCAGCCCCATTGCGCTCACGATCGGAGAAGCCGTGACACCCTCCCAAGCTTGTTGCTCATGATCGGAGTCCATGGGAAACCACGGACCCGAATCGCGTGACACCCGCCCCGCCCCACTGCGCTCATGATCGGAGACTACGGAAATCCACGGACCCAAGCGCGACACCCTCCCAACCCCTGTCGCTCATGATCGGAGACCATGAAGATCACGGAGCCGGGCCGCGTGACGCCCGCCAGCCCCATGATCGGACCACGGGAGGCCATGAACCCGGACCGCGTGACACCTGCGCTCGCGCCACCACGGACCCGAACCGCGCGACAACCGCCCGGCCCCATTGCGCTCATGGTCGGAGACTATGGGAGACCACGAATCCAAGCGCGTGAAACCCTCTCAACCCCTGTCGCTCATGATCGGAGATCACGGGAGACCACGGACCTGGACCGCGTGACACCCGCCTGCCCCATACGCGCTCATGATCGGAGACTGTGGGAGACCGCGGACCCAAACGTGCGAACACCCTCCCAATGCCTGTAGCTCACCACGGACCCGAACCGCGTGACACCCGGCCGGCCCCATTGCGCTCATGATCGGAGATATTGGGAGAGAACCCAAGCGCGTGACACCCTCTCAACCCCTGTCGCTCATGATCGGACACCATGACAGACCACGACCGGACCGCGTGACACCCGCCCAGCGTGCTCAGAGACCATGGGAGACCACGGACCCAAGCGCGTGACACCCTCCCAGATGATTTATGGGAGACCATCAAGCGCGTGACGTCCAACCGCTGCCACTCACCGCGGACCCGAACCGCGTGACACTCGTCCGGCCCCATTGCGCTCATGATAGGAGACCATGCGAGACCACGAATCCAAGCGCGTGACACCCTCTCAACCCCTGTCGCTCATGATCAGAGATCATGGGAGACCACAGAGCCGGATCGCGCGACGCCCGCCCAGCCCCATTGCGCTCACGATCGGAGAAGCTCAGTGCGTGACACCCTCCCAAGCTTGTTGCTCATGATCGGAGTTCATGGGAAACCACGGACCCGAACCGCATGACACCCGCCCAGCCCCACTGCGCTCATGATCGGAGACCACGGAAATCCACGGACCCAAGCGCGTGACACCCTCCCCTGTCGCTCATGATCGGAGACCATGAAGATCACGGAGCCGGGCCGCGTGACACCCGCCAGCCCCATGATCGGACCCTGGGAGACCATGAACCCGGACTGCGTGACACCCACAGATTGCGCTCGCGCTGGGAGATCATGGGAGTCCATGGACCCAAGCATGTATAGAGACGACGGAGAGCATGGACCCGAACCGCGTGACACCCGCCCAGCCCCATTGTGCTCATGACGGGAGACCGTTGGAGACCACGGACCCAACCGCCCAGACCTTCCCAACCCGTGTCGCTGATGACTGGAGACCATGGGAGACCACGGGCCCGAATCGCCCGACACCTGCACACAGACCATGGAAACGTGACACCCTCCCAATCCTTCGCTCACCATCCGAGACCGTGGGGGAACACGGACCCGAACCGCGTGACACCAGCCCAGCCCCAGTGCGCTCATGATCGGGAGGCCATGAGACCATGCGAGACGGGGACCAGACCCGCGTGACACCCTCCCAACCCCTGTCGCTCATGATCGGAGACCGTGGAGATCACGGAGCTTATGAACGGAGACCATGGCAAACCACGGACCCAAGCGCGTGACACCCGCCCAAACCCCTGTCACTTCCAAAACCATGAAAACCATGGACCGCGTGACACCAACCGTCCCCATTGCGCTCATGAGGAGACCATGGGAGACCACGGACCCAAGCGCGTGCCACCCGTCTGGCCAATCACGTGGCACTGCTTTCTGAGGAGAGCGTCCCGAACAGTTCCTTTTTGGGGAAAAACCACAGGCCCTAAGCGCGTGACACCCACAAGACCCCAATGATCCCAATTGTGCTCATGATCGGAGACCGCAGGCCCGCCAATTGTGCTCATGATCGGAGACCATGGGAGACCAAAGGCCCGAGCGCGTGACCCGGCTCATGTTGGCCCCACAGGCCCGAGCGCGTGACACCCGCCTGGCTCATGATCGGAGACCATGGGAGACCACAGGCCCGAAGCGCGTGACACCCACCCGGCCCCAATTAGACCATGGGCCGAAGCGCGCGACACCCGCCCGCCAATTGGCCTCAAGATCGGAGACCATGCGAGAGCGACACCCACCCGGCCCCAATGGCCCCAATTGTGCTCATGATCGGAGACCATGGGAGACCACAGTCCCCGAAGCGCGTGACACCCACCCGGCCCCAATTGGCCCCAATTGCGCTCTGATCGGAGATTGTGTGGGAGAGCACAGGCCCGAGCGCGTGACACCCGCCCGGCCCCAATGCCCCCAATTTCGCTCACCATGGGACCGCAGGCCGAGCGCCCACCCGGCCCCAATGGCCTCAATTGCGCTCATCATCGGAGAATATGGGAGACCACAGGCCCCGAAGCGCGTGACACCCACCCGGCCCCAATGGCCCCAATTGTGTTCATGATCGGAGACCATGGGAGACCACAGCGCGTCACACCCACCCGGCCCCAATTGGCCCCAATTGTGCTCATGATCGGAGATCATGGGAGACCAAAGGCCCGAAGCGTGTGACACCCACCCGGCCCCAATTGGCCCCAATTGTGCTCATGATCGGAGACCATGGGAGACCACAGGCCCGAAGCGCGTGACACCCACCCGGCCTTAATTGGCCCCAATTGTGCTCATGATCGGAGACCATGGGAGACCACAGGCCCGAAGCGCGTGACACCCGCCCGGCCAAGCGCGTGACACTTTTCTTTCTGAGGAGAGGACCCCAAACGGTTCCTGTTTGGGGAATAACAAGACAAATCAAGACATTTCATAAACCAAGTCCAAAAAATTGAGTATAAAGCAAAGCTGAACAAGAAACCCAATGGGCATGTCAATATGAAAACGACACAAGCAACCACATAATAGCCCAGAAAACAATTTTCCAGAAACACAGACATCGTTACGAAACCCACAAAAAAACAACACGAACAAAAGATATGAAAACATGACAAAACCAAGTCCCAAACATTGAGATGCAAAACGCAAAAAGAAGGGCGCACACTGAAGTCTTAAGACTGCACGTTTTTCGACACGCGGAGTGTCGAAAAAAGCGCCGCGTTAAGACTTGAGTGCGCATCCCAGGGCGCGGATTGGACAGAGAACTCTTCAGAACCCCCCCAACGATGCGCACTCAAGTCTTAACATGATGTTTACTCGACCCGTCTACCTCAAGGACGGGAGTTTCATGTTGGATGCTGATGAGCGTGGCCCCCCTCTCTCCGTTAGAGTGGCAATTTGGGGCGGGGTGGGTTGGGGTGGGGGGGGGGGGGGGGGGTCAGCTTTATAATGTTGAAAGGGAGGAGTTTTTATGAATTTAAAGAAGGGGGATGAGTTCATATGCGGTTTTGAAAAGGATGAGTTGATTTACAGGGGTCCATATGATTTCAAAAGGCATGAGTTTATATGATTTCATTAAGGGTTTGTGTCAGGGTCCGCCCCTTAGGCTGCTGGATCCAAACCCAACCAGCTTTGGTCTCAGACTCCGGCTGCGGACCTTTGCTCAGGCTCAGTTCAGAAGCGATGTCTAGACAACAACTCTAGTTAAATGCCTCGCTGAATATTTCGCATCGCTCGAACAAAGCCGGGGGACCTCATCAATTTGATGCCGCTGAACAATCTGAGGACTTTTTCTCACAGTCCGGGGGGACCACACTATTTTTGGACAAGACATCACTCGTGCTTACAGTTTTTCGCGCTTGGCGGGAAGTCTCCTTGGCTTCTCAGATCCCAGGACAGCGAAAAGAAGGAGCTCGCGGCTGCCATGAACGAGATGACTTTCAGCAAGGCCCTCCCCATTATGTGTGTGCTACGCTGCTACGAGCCGGTCTTCCTTTTTGTTGACTCTTCTCTGGCTCCTGTGCCCAAAGCGTTCGTTGCAATATGAAGGCATAATAACGTATACATTTCTTCAAGGCCTTGCCTTTCCAGGCCCACGCCCAACGACACCACAGATGCTCGCAAGTTGACGCACTGGAACAGTAGAACTGTTGCCCAATCATGAACAATCCTGCAGGCATAGGGGCCTGCAAGAGCTGAACTTCGTTCCGAGGGGTTTGTCCGGAGAACCATCCTTACTGTCTATTCGAATGTTGAAGCTAACGCTTCAACTGGACTGTCCAACAACATGCTCATGTGTTGCACCTGGTTTCGGTCGTCGTTTTGTTCATATGCATGTCTGTCTTACTGGACCCAACGACAAGACAGGGCCATCAATACGTACAGGTGCAGTGCACCGCTTGGGGGACATTTGTTGTACATTCAGATTATGGCCTTGATCACCGAGAAAACCTTCCTTTGATGTGTGGGCTTGACGGCCGGGTCGATGCCATCACAACATGGCGAGCATCATCTGGCATCTGAGACAGGGATGCTGCGAGCAGATACCTTTCCAAAGTCCACTCGTGTAGTCTAGTCTTCATAGTGATACAGTGATACAGGCTAAGTTCAGCTCGAGCAAGCCATCGGGTTGACACCACGTCGTGACAGTGAGTTCTGAAATTCCAAGTTCTCTTTCTCCGAGGAGGATCACGCCTGAAGAGGCGAACAGCTTAAGCCGGTAAAAACCAAGATTCTACAGGCGTGAAGTCTTAGCTCCATTTCTTTTTTCAGGGGGAAGCACCGCTGGAGGGATCGGGTGCCAGGACGAGCTGGTCTTCGAGCAGGGTGAGCGTGGCAGTGGTCCTGGAGTCCTGGAGAACTTTCTGACAACTCAAAAAAGCTCAAAACAACTCAAAAAGCTCAAATCACACACGAAGAACAGTGCCCCCGGTGAACTCAGTGAAGAGTGAGCACTGAGGCACACAATTCTTTGTCCTAGTGGAAGGAGAAGTGAGCGCCAGGGGCTCGCAAAAAGAATGGGGGCTAGCAGCAGAGCTCTGCGATCTCAAGAAGTTCCATTTCGCCAGTTCACTTAAGGTAATCAAGGATGGCAAGGAAGTCACGAAGATCAAGGTGCCGTGTGGGTGCGCAGTGGCATCGCTTGGCACTTGGCATCCCGCAGGCCACACCTGAAAAGGCGCACTACTTCGGATGCCTGGCTGAATTGAGTAGTCTCATTTCGCTTCAAGTTGAAAAGGTTATGAGAAACGGACGCAGGGACACAAAGCGGTCGCTGAAGGATATGTTAGTTGCCCCTTGAAATGCATCTCACGCACCGACCTAAAATGGCTGGAGACCATCTGAAGCCGGAATGAAGCTTCGTTTTACGGTCGCAACGCTGAGATGGAGACCTCCAGTTTGCACAGTTTGCACCCATGCGCCAAGGCGAGAAAGCGCTGCTAGAGGATGAGCCTCGTGCGGCTACCATCAAGGTCTTGTCCACCGTTGCGAAGGCGAGTCGTACTGAGCAGATACTGAGTAGGCACCAGCAGGCACTGGAACTATGTGAGTGCCTTCTCAATCCTTCTCATACATGGATCCTGCCAGACACATGCTGCTCTCGACATCCTGGCTTGTTAAGCCTGTCGGATTGTGTGTGTGTCTATCACACGGGGCCTTTCTTACAGCTCAGGGCTGTCTGTTGCTTTGGAGGGACAAAAGATGCTTGAAACTGCACATTGCGAAGTGCGTTGTAGTAATTGTAGTATTTACTAATTTACTCGCCACGTCGCGTTGCCATGGCCGCTGTCTTCCGGAAGCCAAATGTCGACCGGGTTGGACAGCGTGTTTCTGCTCGGCTGTTCCTGGCGCTCCTTGGTATCAGCCTTTTCCTGCAATCTCACGATGTGGCAAATGTGGCAAATGCCACGTCCTTCACGGCCTTGTTGGGAGGGCTCGAGCGCCATCCGGGGCCGCGGCCTCGTAGCGGCTTCTGCGGTTTGGGGTTAAGGCGGTTGAGGCCCACTGGGACCACTGGGACCAGCTTCGATGGCAGAGGTGTCAGAGGTGGCGCAGCTCTCGCGGCCAAGCCCACTTGCAGCACCGAGCTCGGGCAAGAGGTGGAGAAGCTTCTGCTGAAGGATGTTGAGGATGAGCCTGGGGAGTACCTCATCATCTCAACGGCCCCTGTAATGGTAGGCCCATCCAAGGAATTGAGCCCTCCGCCTTTCTTAGCCGAGCTGCCAAGAGGCGCGAGCGTGGAGGTCGGGCGTGGAGAGCTTTCTGAATCCGAGTTCAGGATGAAGAGCGGGGCTATATGACTAAGAGGGCAAGTATTCGAGAGGTAGTGTGTCCAGCGTGTGGCCGCATGGCCCTGGCACCCCTTGCACAGGTGCTGGAAGTTCAGACCCTCCCCAAGCAGGAGCGGGTGCGAGGTCGCCTGGCTGATGGCTGGATCTCTCTGCAAAACCTGGGCTCTGGCTTTCGATGGGCGTGGCCTCGGAAGCACCAGGACGCGGTGACGTTAAAGCTTGGGCAGATGCAGAGTATGCAAGCGACCCTTAAAGAGGAGGATCAGGAGGATCTTGAAGCCGAGGCGGACCTGCTCTACCTCAAGGCGCTCTTGAGTCGCGCCTCCATGGGATTGCCAGCGCTGAAGAGCTTTCAGTCAGAGTCGCCGTCCAAGACCTGGGCTTTGTTCGGGCGCGGGCTGGAACAGTGGGACTCTGTTGCAGGACCCTGCTCCCAAAAACTCTCGAAGCGCAACGGATTGCAGCAAACTTTAAGCTCACTTTTCATCATCTAACACATATCCCGCCTGCACACCCTTTCCTGTTGCCTGGCAGGTGACCATTCATATGAGGTGCCTTTGACAGCTGTATCCGAGCCCCTCCGTCGGGAGCTGTTCCGTGCACTGGGCAGCAAGGCTTACATCCGAGACTTGGTCAACGCGTACACACAGGAGCAGTTGCAGTCGCCAGGCCAATTCGGAGACTTTTTGGAACGCTTCCGCAAGGTCAAGGACACTGTGCTTACGGACATCGGCGGGGCCTCGGGCTTGAGCCTACGGAAAGCGCTCACGACGGACACAGACACAACCGACGCAACCCACACAACCGATTCGCAGACAGCGCGGACTGGGTCCTGGACCCAAGAGGACCTGGCACAGTGGCTCCAGGTACTCGAGTAACCCTGCACACGCTTGTACTGATGCAGGTAGCGGTACCATCCTCAAAGTGTCCACTTAGCTTGAAACAACCTGACGAGGGATCCCACCTGAACCCCACCCCCGGCTACTGCACTTTGCAGCCCGCGCAAGCCCGCAGCGTATGACTTGGCCACATGGGAATGCATGAAGCGGGCACTACATGCAGAACAGGGTCTCGCGCGGGTTGACCGTTGCTCGGTTTCCATAAAGCGAGTTTAATGAAAGCGGGCTGATGTATAATCTTCGCGAAAGGCCTTGTGAAAGCGCAGCGAAAGGATTCTCGTAAGATTTGTTTTGCAAGCATTCGTAGTGTCCATCAGAGGCTTTGGAGGGTCGCATTTTGTGTAAGTCACATTGAGTAAATGTACAGCACAGCAGAAGACTCGGCCCAGCCCAAACAGTCAAACTTTCCAGCAGTTGCATCATGGAGTGGCAGGTAATTGTAAACGCTTGCGCGGCGCCTCGGCAGCCGGGCCGGCCCAGTGGGGGGTGTGTGGTGGGGGGGGTGGGGGGGTGGGGTGGTTTGCAGCTGCTCCAAGCGATCCGGGGGTGGCGTCACAAAAACCTGCACGGGGGGTTAGGGGGAAGGAGAGCGGATCCCTGGAATAAGCAGACCCTTCTCGGCAGGAAGCCGAGGCGAATTCTCAAGTTTTTCAGAACATTGTAGTACATTGTAGCACCGCACCAATTATGTACAGTATACCCCTTGTGATGCATTGCCATGTGGTGGCAAAAGTAGAGTTTGAAACGCAAAACAAACCTCTGCTAGCTTCATGACGTCCCTGCTACTACCTTGTCCTTGCATTTATGTCGACCGTATATCCGTATAAACTCCAAGACGATGGTCTTCACGAAAGCTTGCGCAAGGGCCGGGAGAGGCGCAGCGCTTGGGAGGCTTATGTAGAACATGTGTGAGTCTCTGGGCCTGTGGAGGTCTTCACAGCCGTCACCTCGTCGACCCGCGTCGTTCAGGCGGACGCCTACTTCGGCCACGCCGCCTTTGGGCTCTGCCTGCGCCGGCTCTGCCGGCGCTTCGAGCTGGCGCTCAGCCTGCAAAGAGACTATGAGCAGGCCGAAGAGGCTGAAGAGGCGGGGATGGGTTCTGCGATGGGTTCTGCGATGGCCGTGGAGCGCTTCAAAAACTTCGTGGAGATGGTGTCACGGCCCTCCAGCGAGGATGCCACGATGGACGAGGTTCTCAAGCTGAGCAGTGCCGTGCTGAGTGCCATCCGCCGACAAACCGAGTCACTCTTTGGGACCAACCTGCGAGATGAACTTCAAAAGCCCTTAGATCGTGCAAAGGAGGCGATCAAAGAAACCTCGGAGGAGAGCGGTGCCAGCAGTGCCAGCGGTGCAGCTGATCCTGCAGCTTCTACACCCCCCATTGGCAAACTTGCATCCCTGTTGCTGGAATCCGCTGAGGCCGGCGAGCTCCGCATGTTGTCCCTTGGCCACCTCTTCACATTTTTTTCGCTTCGGATTGTTCCAACAAGTCTTAAGCAAAGCAATACCAGCTAAAAAACTGCGTGGCTCGGCAAACCTTAGACATCCAGCTTCTTGTTGACAGCTTGACAAATGCTGTCTAAGCGTCGTTGAATTATATGATATACTCTGACCTCCTTAAAGACATTGTAGGGATAGGCCGGTGTCCGGTGTGTGGGGGGGGTCCAGGTCAGTCAGCAAGATGGGGGCCAAGGAGCGCATCATGTGGGATGCGCTTTCCTTCGGATACTTTCTGCAGGAAGCAGAGGACAATCTTCTGCTGACTGTTTGAGTCCGTCGCGCCGTGCCAAAAGCTCTCCCAAGCCGAGCAATTGCGCCACGTGATATCACGTGATTCAGGGCTTCCCTTGTCAAGACTTGCCAGCACGGCGTGTCGAGTAGCCTTGTTGCCCAGCCTGGTTACCCTGTTCAGACTCTCGTGGTTGACAAAGAATCCTTCGAGATTCTTCTCGGATCCCTGCAAGCCTGAGCCTTAGCGTCCCTTAGTCCGACGGCGCTTTCACAGCATGCACCTGGCATACCGACATGCACTTTCGTATGGGAGAGGACCACACAGGACGTGTCAGGTTCAAATTGTTCAGAGGCTGACGTCAAAGGGAGCTTCTAAACTATTCTAACTATGCAAACTATCCAGCATATCCTCCATCTTTGAGGAGCTGACGCGGCGTGGCAAAGACGGCACGGGCTCAGTGAAGAAGCCAGCGGTGGCACCCAGCGCGGCCGCGACCTTCGGTAAAATCAAGTTCAAGGACCTCACCACATCTCACCACATCTCACCACCACACCGCAACACCCGGTCAACACCCCACGCGCTGAGTTTTTCGGGAGACGTTCTGACGCTGTCGAGAAGTGACCTCGTGTGGGTGTATAGGACTTGAAGAAGCTTGGCCTGCTGGGCTGTGGCGGCTTTGGTGCAGTGGAAATGGCCACTCGACCTTCTGCTTTGATAATATATACATATATAATCATACATACATATAAATATAATACATATACGTAGTCGACTGCAACTCGAAGCCTTAGAAACCACGGGACACTCAGAATCTTAGAGCTGCAGCAAAAACGTGCGGAAAGTGGACTCAACGAGAGCAGGATCCCTAAGCGCTCAGGTGGAGCATCTCAACACAGCCGAGACCTACGCGCTGAAGGCTTTGAGCAAAGGGTATGTGGTCCATACCTTACACGTGGGTCTCTGGGTCTCTCTGAGATTTACTCTGAGGAGCAGGTGGCATGTCATGAATAAGGTCAAAAGTGGCATGCAAAGCAGCGTGATAAGCGAGAAGAACGTGCAGATCATGTGCGATTCCCCCTTCATTGTCAAGCTGCACGATGCTCTGCACCAAATGATCAGGTCACAAAGCTGTCACAAAGCTGTCACAAAGCTGCACAAAGCTGTCAGCTAAGGCGAACATCCAGATATGAATATATATGGTCACCCCCTACACCCCCCCCCCCCTTTCAAGTACCCGTGCTTTGTGCTTGAAATTCCCGAAAAATGTCCGGACAATCTGGGTTTTTTGGGCTTAGCATAAAGGACTTTGGGAATAAGATGTGTTTTTGGCATCTAGGGGCTCTCCTCTCTAGAAATTAAGGAACCCCCCGACTCACCCCCCTCTTCAGGGATTAGGGAACACAATTTGGGCAATGAAATTAAGGAAATGCGGCTTAGGGAGTAAGATTTGGGAATCCGGCTCTTTAGGATTCAGCACAGAGGACTTGGAGAATAAGATCGGTTTGTGAAATGCAAGGGCTTTCCTCTTTAGGATGTAAGGATCCCTTTTCTTAGGGCTTCGGGAATAACATTAAGGGAATAAATCTAGGGAACAAGATGTAGGGGCCCCGCTTTTTCCCGAAGTCCATTCCCTACAGGGGGGGTGTCCTTAAATCCGAAGGAGGAGCCTTTTTTCATAAAACCTATTAACCTGGAGCGCCAAAGTGTCCAACAATAATAGGCAACTTTCAAACAAGGTCAAGCCAGGAACCCAAAAACAATCCGAATCACAACAGTGCCCGAGTGAAACCCCCACTTTAACATCCATTCCGTATGCGCATTTTATAGAAGAGTATATAAGAAGGTAATAAGGCACGCGCCGCAGTCCGCTCTCGCGCCCCTCCGGCTCTGTCCTCCAGTACTATACATTTGTGATACAATTCAACGAAAATCCCTCCGCCGTACGCACCGTCGTCCGCGCCGCAGTCCGCTCTCGCGCACCTGCTCTGTCCTCCCAGTACTAAATTTGTACTACAGTGCAACGAAAATCCCTCCCCTTCCCGCGCCGCCATACGTGCCGTCGTACGCGCAGTCCGCTCTCGCGCCCCTCCGGCTCTGTCCCCCACTAGTACATTTGTACTACAATTCAACGAAAATCCTCCAGCTTCCCGCGCCGTCGTACGCGCCGCAGTCCGCTCTCGCGCCCCTCCGGCTCTGTCCTCCCAGTGCTACATTTAATTGTAAACGCTTGCGCGCGCCGCCTCGGCAGCCGGGCCGGCCCCAGGACAGGAAAGGAGGAAAGAGGTTCGCAAAAAAAGGGAGGAAGGGCAGAGCGGGTGGGGGGGGGGGGGGGGGGGGGGGGGGGGGGGGGGGGGGGGGGGGGGGGGGGGGGGGGGGGGGGGGGGGGGGGGGGGGGGGGGGGGGGGGGGGGGGGGGGGGGGGTGGGGTGTGGGGGGGGGGGGGGGGGGGGGGGGGGGGGGGGGGGGGGGGGGGGGGGGGGGGGGGGGGGGGGGGGGGGGGGGGGGGGGGGGGGGTTTTTGAGGCACTCCCCCTGTAGGAGCCACCGACAAGCGGGACCCTCCACGGCATCGGTTTGCAGCTCCTCCAAGGGATTGGGGGGGGTCCCACAGGGCGGGGGGGGGGGTTGCGTCAGAAAATTTGGCACGGGGGGAAGGGTTGGGTTAGGGGGAAGGAGGCCCGATCCGGGTCTGCTTGTTCCAGACGCTTCTCGGCAGGAAGCCGAGGCGAATTTTAACGCTACGCGACCCGCCTCGGCCCGGCCCAGCGCATCCGCGTGAGCATGGTGATTCCGCAGCGCCCAAGTCGGGTTTAGGGTTCCGGGTTTATGGTTTATGGTCTGGGGTTTAGGGTTGAGGGTTAGTTTAGGATTGAGGGCTTAGGGCTCAGGTTCTTGCTTTGGGGTTTAGGGTTTTTTTGGGTTTAGGGTTCAAGAGACGGTTCGGCTTGGATTGATCGTAGGGTTGAGCCAGGCCCCTCAGGGGGGGTAGGGGTGGAGGGGGAAGGGGGGCAGAGGGGAAAGGGGGGGGGGAGCTAAGATTGAAGGTTTCGGGTTTCGGTTACTCTTCGTCCCCGGAGTTGAGCCTCGAAAACCGGGGGGCGAGGTGGGGGTGGGGGGGGGTGGGGGGGGGAAAGGGGGCGAGGCCTCGGCGGATTTGCGGCCGTGCTCACACCAGTGAGCCTCCGGCCCTCAAGCCAGCGCGTCGGAGCAGCCTTTCACAAACACCTTATGTGAGCAAGCGCCAAAACCCCCAGCCATTCAATTAAGCAAGGGGAAAACCCTGTAAAACGATGGGAACACTTGAAAAGCGACACCCCTAGGTTATGAACCATTGGGTGTGCTATAGCGACACCTACAAACATCAAGCCCCTCTTGTTGCGTCCATTAGCCCAGCCGCTCATGTGGCTTTTGGGGGAGGGACTATGTGGGGGGTGGGGGGGGGGGGGGGGGTGGGGGGGGGGGGGGGAGGGGGGGGGGGTTTAGGGGGGGGGGGGGGTAGGGGGGGGTAGGGGGCGGGGGGGTGGGGGGGGGGGGTGGGGGGGAAGGGTGGGGGCAGTGAAAAAGGGGGGGGCCCTGCTGGGAAGGGCTGCAACTGCCTCTGGTCCTGGCGAACCATCCGCTTGCGGACCCTGCTCACCTAGGGGGGGTACCCATTTGAGGCAAAAAAAGGGGTCCGAAAAAGGGCTTTGGGCCTGGAGGGAGGATTTGGAGGGGGGTGCCTGTTCTGACTACCAATACACCTTCGGCCCGAGGCCTCGGCGGATTCTACTTGAAATCTTAGTACTCCTAATTTTCATCGTTGCAATTATTAGGAATCCTAATACGAGTCTTAAAATATTGAGCATCCTATTGAGAATCCGATTAAAAGTGTTAAAAGCAACAAGAACCCTATTGAAAGCAATCGGAATCTTATTGCACTTCATACAATACTAACTTCGTAAGAATGTCGAGGAATCATGTTAAAAATGTGAAAACGAAAGGGTTTAGGTGCCCCTACCACCCTCCCCTCTCCTCCCCCCCCTCTCCTCCCCCCCCCCTAAACCCGACCTAATTCAAGAGGATTCGTGTTCGTGTTAATACGTGCGATTCTTGAGAATGCTTACTTAGCTAAATTGGATTCCTATAAATTTGAAGAGGATTCCGTTTGGTGATACGTTGAGAAACCAGAACAAGATCTCTTTTTAAAATATATAGGATTCGTATAAACGTTACTTTCCACTGAGCTTGTGGGGGTGGTGGGGGTGGGGTGGTGGGGGTGGTGGCGTGGGGGGTGGTTGGGTGGGGGCTGGTGGTGGTGTGGGGGGGTTCTTTGTCTGGAGAGGGGGGGTCACCCTGTCCTTCAGGACGGGAACGAACAAGAGCAGCACAAAACCACAGCAGCACTGCCTGCTAGTCCTGGTCCTGATGCGATTTTGTAGGTTGGACGTCGATGCAGAGTACCAGGGGCCCCGACCTTGGTGACCTCCCGGTGAACGACGGGCTCCAAAAGAAGTCACTTGCAACCGAGTCTGGCTCCGATGCAAATAAGGTGGATCCTGATTTTCACCACCCTCACTTGCGCCTGGCTCTTCTGCCTTCCAGTCGGGGGCCCCCGTGGCCATGCGGCCGTACGCACTCCACCGAAGTGTTTAGAGTCTAGAGGATGGTGTCGATGTGCAAATCGGTAGACCAAACTTGTCTGCTGCGCCAAGTGCTACTGCGCCGGCATGTCCTCACCGGGTGCGCGGAGAATGGCAGCCTGGACTGGGAGCTGTTAGAGATTCTCGTGTTCATGCAAGCTGTACGACTGTAGGCTGTAGACTCGGATGCCTGGCCGCGCAAGCAGGATGTCACAACGATTGCCGGTGCGCCGCCTTCTGTGACCATCCATGCAGCTCGCAGCTGTTTTGCACACGAATGTACAGATCGGTGAGCATGTCTGAGCCATGATTTAGCCGTAATGAGCTATTAGGTTCAAGCCTGCACAGCTGGGCACAGTGACAGTTGATAGCGAAAAAAACCAGCATTTTGGCATGGCGAAGGTGGTTTACGAGCCTCGGAACATCCTCGTCACAGGCGGCGCGGGTTTCATCGCAAGCCACGTCGCGGAGCACCTATTCTTTACGTATCCCAAGTACAAGATTGTGATCTTGGATCGCTTGGACTACTGCTCGAACACGAAGAACTTCGAGTCAATGCAGGGCAAGCCCAACTTCAAGTTTCTCTGACCGGTTCTTGATTATCAGGGAGTTCGGGAACTGAGTATCCTATATAGTCCCCTACAGGAACCCGAAGTTTGTAACTACCCTGCTTGGAGCCAGTAAGGTTTGTGAAGGGAGACATCAAAAGTCCAGATCTGCTGCACTACATCATCGAGCAGGAGGAAATCGACACGGTGATGCACTTCGCGGCACAGACGCACGTTGACCTCTCCTTCGGCAACTCTGTGACCTTCACGGATGACAACGTCCTGGGCACACACAGAATTTTGGAGGTCCTGAAGGAGCTCAAGCACCAAGTGAAGCGGTACATCCATGTCAGTACCGACGAGGTCTATGGCGAGAATGCCAGCTACCACGATGCAGGGGACATGAAGGTTGAGGCCACCTCCCCTTTGGACCCTACGAACCCTTACGCAGCCTCCAAGGCCGCCGCGGAGATGATGGTGAAAAGCTACCATCGATCCTATGGGCTGCCGGTCCTCGTCACTCGTGGCAATAACGTCTACGGCCCACGCCAGTACCCGGAGAAGCTGATCCCCAAGATGATCATGATGTTGAAGAGGAACAAGAAGCTCACGGTACACGGAGACGGCTTGAGCAAGCGCTCCTACCTGCACGTCAAGGATGTGGCCGCAGCATTTGACATCGTCTTGCACAAGGGAGTCACAGGCAGCACCTACAACATTGGCACAGCCGAGGAGCATTCGGTCATTGACATCGTAAAGCAGATCATCAAGCTGATGAAGCCGGATATTGATCCCGAGAAGATGATCGAGCATGTCCGCAATCGGCCTTTCAACGACATGCGCTACTTCCTTGACCTTAAGCAGCTGGAGCAGCTGGGATGGAAGGAAACCGTGAAGTTTGATGAAGGCCTTAAGCAGACCGTGGACTGGTTCACCGTCCATGGCAGTGCTTTCTGGTCCGACTGTGACATGGACTCTGTCTTGGTGGCGCACCCTGTGCCAATTC